CGAGGCCGTAAGGGGCCGTAAGGGCGCTGCGAGGGGAGCCGACGGGCGTCGCGGGGGGGCCGTAAGGGGCCGTAAGGGCGGCACGAGGGGCCGTAGAGGGCGGCGCGAGGGGCCGTAAAAAGCAGCGCGAGGGGCCGTAAGGGCGGCGTAAGGGGCCGTGAGAGGGGCCGCTAAAGGAGACGCGAAAGGGGCCGTGAGAGGGCGCGACGGTAGGGAGAGCACACAGAGCGCGACTCGGGCAGGAGCGAAGCGCGCTCCGGGCAGGAAAAAAAAATATCGTGGTGGGCCCTAGGAATCGTTCCCACTAGGGAACCTGCTCGATACCATGATAAGAAAGGAGGAATGAATGCATTGAGCAGAATGAGGAGTACAAGTAGTAAACCCTAAAGTGTTGTACCCCATATGAACTGCCCCACTACAGCCTACACAGACTATAGCATATATGCCTGACATGCATCACGTAATAAACAGTTACGCATTCATAGTACATCATTTTGGCAACTCATGAAATATAGGTTCAGTCAAAGCAAACTAGGAAATGAGAAGGAATGTAGTTCGGCATGTGGTAAATTGACGTGGCAAATACATTGTAGTCAGTCACTTCACTTAGCTTCTTTTCACTAGATTCTTTTCATCCTTAATTTTTTTAAGTAAAGAGGATGAAAAAAAAAATTGTACATAACGATCGTAATAGGTTGCTTCGCAACCCAAAAATCGGACAAGGGGCCACGTTTTTTAATCAATGCATACGTGTAACGTATTATGCATGTGCAAAATATAACTTGTCAACATTGTGAGCGATGCTGACGGTTTGCCATCATGCGATGGAGGGCTTAATGTTACGTTGAATGCGAACCGACGCACAGGTATGATCCACCTCCGTGCTGCAACGATAGTGGCCTTCCTTCCCACGATAGGGTATGTATTTATATGTGTACGCATATACATATACATACATGTATATATATGTACGGTCTTCCACTTGGTTAGATGCAGTTGTACGTGGCCTCGGTGTGTGGGGCCAATGCCTAGGACCATAACGATGCTTGTCCTTGTGCTTTTTCTTGCTCTCCCTCTCTCTCTCTCTCTCTCTCTCTCTCTCTCTCTATCTCTATCTCTCTCTCTCTCTCTCTCTCTCTCTCTCTCTCTCTCTCTCTCTCTCTCTCTCTCTCTCTCTCTCTCTCTCTCTCTCTCTCTCTCTCTCTCTCTCTCTCTCTCTCTCTCTCTCTCCCTCTCTCTCAAGCAGTCGTGTATTGATAGGGCTCATAAGGTTCAGGCATGGCAAAGCGGTGGAACCTAACCAGTCTAGGTAAACCATGCAAGCAACCAAACAAGCAAGCAAACAAACAACCAGGCAACCGGACTGGAAGTTGTGCTAGCAGGCAGATCGAGAACAGATAAGACACCCGCTCAACCAAACCAGGCCCCCAGAGAGACCCCCTCAGATCCCAGCATCTCCCCGCCCTGTGGCCGCCCCCTGTGTCCTCACCCCACTCCTTGCTGCTCTGGCAGGAGCCTCTCGCTCCTCATATTCATCCGTGGTCATCTGCCACGGGTCCCCAAGCCGTGGGGCCCATGGGTCAGCCGCTGTCTGAGGGAAGGCCGCTTCTGCCGCGCGGTTGGACTTGGACAGAAGTGATATGGCCTCGCTTCGCTGCAGCATCACCGACCATCTCTGGCGGTAGTGAGCATTGAGCCGGGCTGCTGTGGTGGTAAGCCGGCCCTGCCTGAACTTCGTCTTGGCGGCATTGGTGGCCAGCATGCGGAGGAATTGAAGCGTGTCAGCTGCCATCGCGCCGTAGGTCTCAACTGCAAGCCCGAAGAAGCCGGCGTAGCTGGGCCGCCCCTCATATTCCCGGTGTTTCCTCTGGGAAGCTTCCTCTGCTGCCCACCCCGATGGCCTACGTGCCCTTGTGTCCCTGTTTTGCAGCACTGGATCAGTAACAGTGACGTTAGTCACCCATGTTTCGCCCGATTCCTGGTCCCGCATGGCCAGGTCTGCCCGTTTCTTAAGGACTGGGGGTGAGAAGGCGCAGGACTCGTGGAACACCTTGAAGCCCGCCTCGTTCGCCATCCGCAGCGCCGCGTAGACAAGTGCGTTGTGGGTTCTGACCACATCCCCACTGTCCTGGCAGCGCAGCAGGTGGTTAGGCAGGCTCTTGTCCAGGATAGCCGAGTTGCTTCGCTTGCATGGGCAGACCTCAACGACCGGGAGCTCCATGCCTAGGCTGAGGCCTAGGGCCAACGAGAACTGACCAGGGGAGATGCTAAGGTCGGCTCTTGTCGGCACAGCATGGAGCCAATCTCCTGCTCCCGCCCCTCTCAAATTGATGAGTCGTATCGCGTGGCCCCTGTTGGTGCCCGGCCGGTCGACTACATTGTCACCTAAGAGGTCTACCGCCCTCTGATGATTGATGAGCTTAGAGAGGCGCATCTGCAGACTGCCCGTGCCCGTGTTCTCTGTTCTACACTGACCTAGCGCTGACTGTGCCAAGGCTGGGAGGCTCGCCTCCAAGGAGGTAAGGGGGTTGCTGTAAGGGGGCGGTGGGGACCACTCGTGGGAGAGCAGAGTTGTTGCGCGGTGGAGCAGGCAGTCCGTAGGTGGATTCAGCTGCAGCAGTAGGGAATGGGCGGCTATGACCGAGGCTGTGTAGGCGGCAGGGGCCTCCGAGCATGGGTCAATGATTCCCAGGCTGCCTAGCCTGATTAATAACGTTGCTTGCCGCCATAGGAGGCTCTACTCCAGCTCCGACGTTGGGATTCGGAGCTTCGCCGCAGTGAGTGCTGATCCCACCAAGCCTTCAATCCACTCCCTCCACTCCCTCCTACTTAGAGTCGATGCCGGTGTCGTCCGTATTAGGTATGAAATCCGACAAGATATGCTGCGTGAAAGGATCAGTAGCGCGTGCTGCGGGTTCAGCTGGGCGATGAGCGGGAGTGGGGTAACCGCGTCCTCCAACGTAGCTCTGACTTGGCCTGTGCAGTAGTCATCGTATCCGATAGGGCTGCCCAGCACCTTTATACCTCCAGGGTTGGCTGCCAAACCATCCGGTAGCTCGGCGTTGGCTTCACCATAAGATTGGGCCCATGCAGATGATTTAGCGATGTTGCAGCGCAGCCCCAGCTCCGCCAGCTTGCTCGTGATGGTAAGGAAAGCCAGACAGGCTGCTTCCAGCGGGCCAACCATAGTGATGTCGTCACCATATGCCGTGATCGCAACTTCCGGCACGGACGTGGCGACGCTAAGGAGTGTAGGTTGAACAGCCGCTGCAAATAGAAGCGGTTCGAGAGGATCGCCTTGTCGCACGCCCCTGGAGCTCAGGATGTGGTCGGTGCCGAGTCGTGGGTCAACAAGCAGGCGGAACGGCCGATCATAGAGGTTGCGAAGTAGAGGGAGAAGCGGGCTAAGGCTAGACCATTGCAGCGCCCCTAGGAATGCAAGCCTTTCAACATCGTTAAAAGCATTCTCAACATCCAGCTGGAGTGTTATCATCCTTGACTTGTCCTCTCGAAGTAGCGCGCGGACAGCATGGATAATGCACTCTGCTCCTCCCGGGACCGCGACGCCTAGCTGGACCGGGAGAAAGAAGGCCCTAATCTTGGAGCCGAAGATCTGCAGCGCTGCTTTTGCAATTACACGTAGAATAGCTTCCCCAATGGCGATTGGCCTTACTCTACCGTGAGGCTTCTCTAGCGCGATGAGACGGGATGGGAGAAGCAGGTCTCTCACGTGCTGGGGCTGGTAGGTACTTAGCATCTGGTTCACCACTTCAACGAAAAGTATGAGCAGCTCTTCGTTGGCCAATGCAGAGTCTCGAAGCTGCTCGAAACATGTGCCCGAAGGGCCCGCCCCGACCCCGTTTGGGCACTTTGCTCTGGGTGATGCCGGTTACCCAGGCCGGGGTTTGTATCGCTGCTGCAGGGTGTTTCGCATGCAGGGCTTCCAGAGTCGCCGGGGTGGCTTTTGCGAGTGGGCTTGTTCACAGGGCCGACACTGCCTTTGGAATGTTACCTTTTTTCACTAAACCTTCTGCACGAGCACAAATCCCTTCCTCGTCAGCCTGGTGTCGTACCAGGCCTTCTGTGGCGGGGATCACCCCTGCCTCTTCGAAAAGGTCAGCCCAATCGCCGCGCTGGAACTTGTGGAGGCGGGCCTCGATGCATGCCCAGCAGCTTCCTGTGACTGGCTCTGGTGCTGGTCTGCGGGTAAGTCTAGGCAGGAAGTGAAGAATCTTCCAGCCACCTGGGCAGGCAGGGTATTTCCGCAGGCGAAAAAGTGCGGCCAGGAGACACAGGCAGTATCGATCTAGGATCTGCGGTGGTAATCGTAGCACGAGGAACAGTTGCTCTCCCCTCTGGAGGATGTCCACGTTCCACTCCCCTGCCACCTGCCAAATTTTGTCCGTTTCTGCCAGGTCGGATGGTGATGGGACATCCGTATCCTCTGTGGCAGCCTCACCAGGCTCTCCCCCATTTTGTGCGGCTGGAGCTGCTCCCTCTCCCCCTGTTCTGGCTTGGTTGTTTCTTCCCGAAACTGGCTCCTTGTCCAACGAGATTTCTTCAGACTCAGCTTCCTCCTTGCCCATAAACTCAGGGTCTAAGACAGCATTATCAGACACTGCTCGCTCCTCATTCACTGGTGCAACAGTAGGGACAAGTTCTGGTCGGTCGGGGCGTTCCTGCCAAGGGCCAGATCTCGCTGGGATCTCCGTTCTGCCTAGCAGGTTGCGCCCTCCCCCCGTCCCCCTCGAAAACCTCCGCGTGTTCCCCCCATCTGCGCCCACGCCTTTCCAACCGCGTTTGCCGCTGCAGTGTCACCGTTGTTGCCTGGGGCCCCGATCCCCCCGCGTCTTACTGGCATCCAAGGTGTACGTCCGCCACATGGCGGTCCCTAGGTTATCGTACCGAGTCTCGCGGAGCGCCTCGGCCCTTGTGCAGCCGCTCCCGTTCCTGCACCTGTGCCTCCTACTACCATCGGGGCTGCTGTCTCCAGTGCTGCCTCAGCATTTTGGTTCCTCTGCGGCCTCGCCTCCACTGTTTGCGGATCCGCCTGCTCCGTGGGCATCGGTGGTGGCCCCTCTCCCTGTGATGGCGGCGAACGCTCTGGCACTTGTGGCGGTTGCCCTTGCAAAAGCCAACCCAGGAGGGGTCCCGGGGCGCCAGGTCCCAGCCCTGCTCCAGGCCGTCTCTGCGCTGGCTGGGCTCGAATCTTCTTCCCCTCCTTCCCGCGAGCGGCGCGGACAGTCTCGCCGTTCCCGCGACCCCGTCTATCGTTCGCCACCTGGGCGTGCCCCTACGTGTCTGCGCCCACGGCAGCAGCAGGCGTTCCAGCGCACACAGCGGCAGCCGTCCCGTCCTCCTCGGTCGGGGCTCCGTTCTGTTCCCCCGCTGCAGCAGACATCACCGCCGCCAGCACAGCAGCCGCCACAGACGCCGGTGAAGCGGACAGCGCCGCCTCCGCTGTCTGTTCCTGAGCGCCAGCCAGCCTCTGGCTCTCCACCTGCGGGAGTGCTACTCGGGGGGTGGCAGAGGGTGAGATTGAGCCACCGCCAGAGGCAGCGGCAGTCACGTCAGCAGACACCGGCCCCTCCTCAGTCTCCGCCCCCTCCACCGCAGCAGCCACGTCAGTCCCCACCAGCGGCGCCTCCTCGTGCTCAGCCGCTTCAGCAGCCGCCTCTGAACCAGTTACCGCTTCCCCAGCCTCAGCTGCATCAGCCACCAACTCCCCAGATGTTGCTATTCCCTCCCGTCCCGTCGGCTCCTCGTGCTCTTCCTCGTGTAGCTGCGACGCCTCTCCACATTGAGCAGCGCGTAATGCACGTGGGGACGTGCTTGACGTTGCTGTCATACATGCTAGACCAGCTCCACGTGTGCTTGACGCGCCAAGGTGTCGAGGTTGGGGGGATGCTACCGTCGGAGCAGTCCGCGGCGGTGTCAGTGGCAACGGAGATGCTGCATCATCCCCCCATGATCGGCCTTGTCCCAGGCGCCCCTATGCAGCGCTCGGGCCCGGCCCCGGGGAGATGGTGCGGCTCGCTGAGTTTGCCCGTGAGGCCCCCCTCTGCCTTGTATCAGCCACATCCGTCCTGCGTTGGATGGATGGGAGGCTGTGCTGGATAGGGTACAGGCCCGGTTAAACTTAGCCAGGCAAACACTTTCTCTCTCTCTGTGGCCCGGTTAAACTTAGCCAGAAAAGTGTTTGCCTGGCTCCTGTGCAGCGCTACCGGCCAGCGCTGACGGTAGTGAGCTGTCAGTTTGGAGGCTACCGTGGTAAGCCTCCCTTGCCTAAACTTCTTCTTAGTCGCCTGTCTGCCCAAGAGCCGGAGAAACCTTTGTGTGTCGCGCGCCAGGGCCCCATACGTTTCCACCGCCAGCCCAAACAGCCAAACGTAATCCGGCCGCCCCTCATATAATCCCCTCTTCCCTCTCGCTCCGTCCTCCGCCGCCCAGCCTGGCGGTTTTATTGCCCTCGTGTCTCGGTGCTGCAGGACGGGGTCGGTCACCGTGACGTGCGTCACATACGTCTCGGCGGACTCCGTGTCCTTGATGGCCAGGTCTGCTTGCTTGGGGTTGATAGGTTGCGAGTAGACCATGGTCTCATACAAGGTAAGGTGGTCCGCCTCCCTGGCCATGCGGAGCGCTGCATACACGAGGTTGTTGTATGTGTTTGTCCTCTCCTTCCCTTCCCCGCACCGCAGCAGGTGGTTCGGTAAGCTCAGGTCCCCTATCTCCCCCCGCTCTTCTTGGCACGGGCAGTTCGCTGTCACCGGCAGCGTCAGTCCCAGGCAGAACCCTAGGGCCAAAGCAAACTGGCCCGGCAAGAATGTAAGATCCGCTCGCGTGGGGATTGCATGAAGCCAGTCCCCCGTGCCTACCCCCTGCAGGCTGATTAACCGGACCACATGCCCGTTGTCCTCCCCAGGCTTGTCCATCCGCATGTCGCCCACCAGCTCCGCAACCCGGTTCAAGTTGATGTGGCGCGACAGTTGCTCCTGCAGGCGGCCTTGTCCCCCCCTGCTGTCTCCCGGCTCCCCTAGCAGCTCGCGTGCTGCCTCGGGGTGTCTGGTCCGCAGGTCTCGAATTGCCTCTCCTCCCCGCCCTGCCACTCCTTCCCCAAGTGGTGACACCAGCGTCGTTGTGAGAGTACGACGGCTTATGCCAGCTATGCTTGCTTGCCTTTACTTTATTATACTATTTCTAGCATAGGATAATTATATGCATGCATGAATTGCTTGATTTCCTAGGCTAGGTGCTTTCCTATATTTTATTATAGTTATAGCACCGAGCTAGGTTGCGTGCACCGAATTCTGGCTTTTCGGTTGCCACCGAATTGCCTTCTACCAAATTCGGTAAGGATCTGTTCGGGACGCTTCGCGACCCGCGGAACCTTCGCGTAACACCTGGTTACGGGGCCTTGTGTCGAGCCTATATATAGCCTCGTGTTGTACCCAGGTGATCATTCAATTCTATTCAATTCACATTCTCTTTTCTGAGCTCGATCCTAGATCCTCACACTTGGTATCAGAGCGGGTTTACACGCGAGGTCTTCAACCGCTTAGTTCCGGCCTTTAAAACCGCGGGGGCGTTGACGAAAGCGCCGATACGGGTATGTAAAACCAGTTCCGCGCAATTTTTCTAAGTCCCCCTCGATTCAGTTTTTGAACACCCCTCAGATTTACTGGAGGAAAGGTTGGAGTTTCGACCGTTCGATCGAGTTTCATCTCAACGGCCCAGAGAATTTCGCCCAAAAAAGTTGGAATTTGAAGTGTCGGATTGATTTTCTCCTCAACGGCCAAGATCGGACGCGAATTTTGCTCAAGGGAGATTTACGCGACCTACAGAATTCGCGCTCGTCTATCCTATAGTCAACTTGACTCGCAGTAAGTCGACCAGCACCTAGAATTCGATTATTTTCGTCGCGCATCTTCTTGTAAATCGCCAAATGGAGGGAAAAGGAGATATTTCAGTACAGAGAATCGCGGAGTTACGTGCTGAGCATAAGCAAATACATGCGGTGCTCCCACGACTCGAAAAACTCCTTGCGAACCAGTCGGCAACCGCCACAGCAGCAGCGACAACAGTAGCAGCAGCAGCAGCGGCAACACAAACAATTCTACATGCCACAATGGCAGAAGCTACAGTTAACCTCGAAGCAGTGAAGCCGAGGCTACCGGAGGCGTTCGATCCTACAGTAAAAAGGAACGACGCTCGTCGATTTGTAGCTGAACTCGAAATTTACTTCGAAGCCGTTGGATGCACGACTCCGACAAAAGACGCAATGCGCATACGGCTCGCAGCAACACTGTTACGAGGCCCAGCTCTAGAGTGGATCAACAACAGAATAGTCCAAGGCGAGGGGACGTGGGCGCAGTTTCCGGCAGCACTGATCGAACAATTCGACACGTTTAACAGTAGCTACTACGGAACACGACGCAACAAGCCAACTAGTGGCATGGGGCGATTGGCACCACCCACGACTGCCGACCTGATTTTTGCTACTGCTGACACCGAGGCACGGACTCTAGTGAAGTCGGAGCTGCAGAAGAGACACACGTGCACAGACCTGGGTGAGCTGCGCAACTATCTTGGCTTGCAGATTACCCGGGACAGAGCACGCCGCACCATCACCCTGACTCAGTCACACATGGTGTAGCAGGTCCTTCAGAGCTTCGGCTTCACTTGGTCCTCGCCACAGTCCACTCCTCTGCCTACCAGTCACTCGCTCTCAGCTCCACCTTCGGACGAGTCCGTAGAGCCGAGTGCCCCATATCTAGAGCTTGTGGGCTGCCTCATGTACCTGATGACCAGCACTCGACGTGACCTTGCCTACCCTCTCAGCATCCTGGCACGCTATGTTGGCTGCTAAGAGGGCGACACAGACGAGAGACACAAACGAGAGCACTGGGAGGCCGCTAAGAGGGTGTTACGCTACTTGTGTAGTATGTCGGGCATGGGGCTTGTGCTTGGAGGACGGAGTCGAGTTGTTCTCACTGGCCACGCTGACGCGTCTTGGGTTGAGGACTTGGCTACGCAGCGGTCGTCACAGGGTTACACTTTCAGCCTTGGCTCCGGTTCTGTTTCTTGGCTGTCTACCCACTCGTCTTCTGTTCCCAGTTTCAGTTGTGAGGCTGAGATCTACGCAAGGGCCATGGCTGCACAGGAGTTACGCTGGCTCACCTACCTGCTGACTGACTTGGGAGAGCCGCCTCGTTCTCCTCCAGTTCTGTACGTCGACAACAGGGCCATGATTGCCTTGTGTCAGGAGCACAGACTGGAGCACAGGACGAAGCACATCGCTCTGCGTTACTTCCTTGCTTGAGAGTTGCAGCAGCGTGGTCAACTTCGTCTTGCTTACGTGGCCACTCGGGCCAACACTGCTGATATCTTCACCAAGGCACTTCAGCCTTGTGATCATCAGCGTTTTTGTACTGTTTTAGGCCTTGTGCCTACTTGGCCTCACTTGCTCACTTCTTGACTTTGCTTGTACTGTGATCTATATACTTATACCTGCATGCTTACACTTGCTAGGTTTTGATCAATTTACTGCTTGTTCTCATTATATAAATCTGCATGTGAACTGGCCTCGTGGCCATTTGCTTGTGCTCAGAGTGTGTGGTGACTTCGTGATCCACCCTGAGCTTGCTTTGCTTTGCTTGACTGGTCTTGTGACCCCTTGTCTCCCCCACTTTGCCTATGTGTCGTACTTATATGTTGTATGTTGTGTAGGCTGTAGTGGGGTAGCCCATATGGGGTACAACCCAATTAGGGTTAGTACTTGTACCTATCCTTTTACTAGTTCATCCATTCCTGCTCATCAGATTCTGACACATAATTCGTTGGTGAATATCACCCTTGCAAGTGTATGGATATTAGTCACGTTTAGAGTTAGAAATCGTACAAGCACTCATATGTTTCTTGTACAGTGAGTTATAATCTTACTTGTGAAGTTAATATTGTCATAGAATAGTGCCCCAAAGGCAAATGAGGCTTGGCTAACGCACTTGCTATAGAAATATGATTCATTTTCATGAGAGATTTACGCTATAAGATCGAATATATCCACAGTCGTAACTGAGGATGATGCTAATTATATATGCATTTGAACAATTAATAAATGACTAGAATGCACTTTATCTTTCATAATAGGAGGTCTAGACCATGGCGTAGCAAACGGGAGAGAGCAACAAACCGTGTCGCTAGTTTTGAGAGCGATGTTGAATCTGTCGAGTTTTCTAATTTCTCGAAGGTTTGATTTGTTGGGCGGGAAAAATGGAAAACTATATGGCTGGTCACATATATGGCCTGTTTATCACGGATGGCCACTCAGCTAAAGCGCAGGTTTTGGCGCTTCTCACTCCCTTGCGGAAGAGGCGGAAGGAGAGGCTCATGGAGGTCAATCCGGACTTGAAGACTCGAGACCTAAGGGCCAGGAGAAGGACGCGAGGGGCGGCGGAAGCGGGGGAGGTCTGGAAGGATGGAAGCTCTGATACGCGTTTCAAGAATGGACGGTCGAGATTCGATGATCGGATGCGTGGCGCTAGGAGCGGAGGATCTCGAGGAGGAATGGGGGAGGTCTGGAAGAAGAACAGAGGACGAGGAGGATCAAGCGGAGCAAGCAGCAAGGCAAGCGAGGCAAGCGGAGCAGGCGGAGCAAGCAAAGGAAGCAGAGCAGACGGTGCTGCATACTCACAGTACGTGGAGGATACTCTGTGCCACTCTGTGCAAGCCCGGTCTCAAACGCAAGGAGAAACAGCAGGGCAGCTGTCAACTGCCCGAGAAGCAGCGGCAGCAGCAGTTACTGCAGGAGCAGGAGCGGCGGCAGCAGCAGGAGCAATTGCAGCAGCAGCAGCAGGAGCGGCAGAACAGGCTTTTCCGCAGCCCTGTACTATCGTGCCATTCCTCCAGCGACCTACCGGTTCCCTCTTGGTCCTTTTCTTCTTCTCCCCTTTCCTCTCCTCCATCTTCCTCTCCCTTTGACACGCTTCAAAAGTCCTCTCCTCCATCTTCCTCCTCTCCCTTTGTATCTCCCTCTGCTCTGTCATCTCGTGTCGACCGTCCCGCAACTTCAGCCTCGTCTGCTTCGATATCAGTCAAGGCCACGACGGGTTCCGGCCGGCCGGGGTATCGAATCCGCCAAACCAGATCAGATACGGAGGTTAGCACCACAGTCGCGTGGAGGCTGATTGCTCCTCCCGAGAGCTATGGGCTTCCGGGGTTGGTCTCTCCTCGCGGGCCGGGGGAGAATAGAGGAGGATTTGGTGGAGGGGAAAGGGGAGGCAGAGGAGGAGGAGGAGGAGGGAAAGGCGGGGTTGCAAGGAGAGCGGAAATCAGCCACAAGCAGAGCCAGAGCATGGATTTTTCTTCGTTGATGAAGAACAGCGACTGGCTTAAGAACCCCGAGTCTGCTGGTCGCCTTGCGGTCTCTGCTGCTAAGGTTGCAGCAGTAGCGGCGGCAGCAGCGGCGGGATCCGTGAAGTCACAAGTGGTTACGACCTTTGAGACGTCGCAAAAGGCTGCGGAATCTATGAAGGCACAAGTGGTTATGGGAGTCACGGCTACAGCCACAGCCGCTGCTGTTGCTGCCAACAGGAATGTTGTCGCAGTAAACGCGGCAAGAAACGTAGCGGTGAATGCAGCGAGAACGGTGGCAGGAATTGTGCCAGACACTGTAGCAGATACGTTAGCAGGAACTGTAGCTGGAACTGTTGCAGGAGATGTAGCAGTGAATGTAGCGCGATCTGTGGCACGTACTTTCTCTCCCCAGTCCTCTCTCCTCAGCCAGCGCAACGGTCCTGCTGTGTTGACTCTCAAGCCAAATCTTCCTCCTCTATCCCCTCCTGTCACCAACCCATCGCGACCTCCTCCCCTCAATCCCTCGTCTCAATCCCCTCGCCCCACTCCCTCGTCTCAATCCCCTGGTCCCACTTCCTCATCTCGACCCCCTCCTATCACTACCGCGTCTCGATCCCCGCCTCTCACTCCCTCGTCTCAATCTCCCCGTCACACTTTTGCGTCTCGCACCCCTCCTCTTAGTCCCTCATCTCGACCCCCTCCTCTCGCTCCCCCATCTCAATCCCCTCGTCTCGCCTCATCTCGTCCCCCTCCTCTCAGTACCTCCTCTCAATCCCCTCCTCTCACTCCCTCATCTCGCACCCCTCCTCTCAGTCCCTCATCTCAACCCCCACCTCTTGCTCCCTCGCTGCGATCCCTTCGTTCCACTCCCCCATCTCGATCCCCTCCTCTCAATCCCTCGTCCCAATCCCCTCGCCTCGCCTCATCTCGTCCCCCTCCTCTCACTACCTCGTCTCGCTCCCCTCCTCTCACACCCTCCTCTCGATCCCCCCCTCTCACTCCCTCATCCCTGTCCCCTCCTCTCACTCCCTCTCACTCCTCCACCACCTCCCTATCCCCCTCTGCTCGCCCCTCCATCCTGAAAGCACCTGCTACCTCCATGGCTTCTTCTCCCAGATTTGGCAAGCGGGTTTCCTGGAACCTTCACCCAGATAGCCCATTCCCCCCTGCCAGTGCAACATCTGGGGGGGCTAGATCACCAAGGGGAGGGGGCCCTAAATCAGCAGAAGAAGGGGGGTACCGGGCCATTGCACGAAGGGCATTGTGGCATGGAGACACCTCTGATGACATGCTTGCTGATAACATCCTTGCTGCTGACATCCGACCTGCTGCTGACATCCGTCCTGCTGCTGACATCCGACCAGCTGCTGACATCCGTCCTGCTGCTGACATGCGTCTTGCTGCTGTCATCCGTCCTGCTGCTGACATCCAACCTGCTGCTGACATCCGTCCTGCTGCTGACATCTGTCCTGCTGCTGACATCCGTTCTGCTGCTGACATCCGTTCTGCTGCTGACATCCGTTCTGCTGCTGACATCCGTTCTGCTGTTGACATCCGTGCTGCTGCGCCTGCAGGTGCCATAGGCAGGCGGGCGGGGAATGTTTTTGCTAAGTTTGCTGGTGAAGCTGCTGAGGCTACTGAGGGAACAATGCTCCCAGCAGGTGCTACTGCTGCTGCTGCTGCTTCTGCCGCTCCGGCTGCTGCTGCTGGCGGTGTTGTTGGTGCTGCTGCTGGTGATGGTGGTGTTGGTGGTGGTGCTGCTGGTGCTGCTGGTGCTGCTTCTGCTGCTGGTGTCAATGCTGCTGGTGCTTCGGCTGCTGGTGCCAATGCTGCTGGTGCTGCTCGTACTGCTGTAACGGCTGTTGGTGCAGCTGTAACTGCAGCTGCATTTTCAATGTCTTCCCGTGCTTCCCCACTCACAGCTCGAACCACTGCAGTGAAGCCTCAATCCTCCAGGCCTTCCGTGAATCGTCCTTCTTCGAAGGTTCCTGTAAAGAGTGTGAGCTCTGACCAGATCCGCAGCCGTTTTGCAGCAGCTGGATATGCGAGCGAGTCGGAAGTTTCCCGGCGTGGAGAAGCTTCGGCAAGAAGAGGAGGAAGAAAGGCACGTGCTGCATTTGTGGTGGTGCCTAGGCGCAGCGTGCACACGCGGAACTTAAGCGACGACACAAGGTTTGGATCCCCTATTCTCTCTCCAAAATAGACTTCATGAAATAAGTGGTCGCTGCATGTATTTGTTTCTTCTTCTTCTTCTTCCTAGGTGTTTAGTTGAGTTGAGTTTGAGTCTAGTTGAGTTGTCAAAAAGGTATAGTTGCGTTCTTTTCTGAAAAGTAATAGGCTGTAAAAATCTCTGGATTTTTCTGTCTGCCTTGCAAACGCGGCTTTTGATATCGAGGAAAATGTGGCAGCCGGCATTTCTGATAATTGTGCTGATCCAGCCCAGAGGATCCCTAGAGGAATTTCTTCCAATGATCGCTCGTTCGTGGCCCAACCAGTGCGGTTATCCCATGGTACCCAGCGTATACACCCAAATACCGTTCTGAAACGTAACGCACCAGAAGAAACTGTGGTTCATTCATGTACTGAAACCTGGATTTCAGAATCTGTTTTCCGCTTGTTAGCTCGGTTGCTCGCCTAAGCTAACCTTGGCTCAAAATGAAGGTTCAGGATTCAGATTTTGGACTTCCAGGCAGTAGCATGTGGGAGTAAACATTCTCTTGGAATCTCCGACTGAGCTTACTAGATTTGGTACCGAAAGGAGAACCACATCCTTTTGTCGCTTTTTTCTCCTCGTTCTTTTGAGACGCCGGCGAATGCACAATCTCGTGTCGCGCTCGGTTTGTTTCAACAGCTGCCAATGTCCACGTGGAATTTTCAAGAATCAGCGTAGGACCTGGCACTCCTCTTCAGCTGCGGAACTAGTAGCCACGTGGCTTCTCGAGAGGTGTTGTTAGCTGCATGCTTGCCAGCACTCTAAGCGTACCGTATATGCACGAGCTGGGTGCTGAATACTGGTGACACTTTGCTAAGATCGCGTCTCACTTTTTAGTCGTATTTGACGCTGCTATTGAACGCTTTTAACTGCGCTGCACGGTCTGCGATCAATATCCGTGTTGTCTGGCAGAACAAATAGTACGAAGGGTAGTGTTTCGCTTCTCCATCAGAGTGAATTAGCACCGCTTTTGATCTCTTTCGCCGCCATGGCTAGTTCGAGCACCTGTCTGGTTGGTGGTGCTACCAAAATTCTTGCGTCGAGTTTATCCGACAAGCCTCGTTTCAGTTCCTCCCACCGCAGCCACCCCGCCGCTACACTCCCCTCTCGCTATTGTCACATCCATCGTCCGAACACCCTGAGTCTCCGTCCGCCGATCTCGCACCAACCCTGCCGGCCAATCACAGTGTGCCAGGTCTCGCTCGTCGATGACGCCCCGTTCGTCGCAGCGATCGCCACGTCCATCGCACTCTCAGCCGCGCCGCTCGTCCTACCGTCGCTCCCGCTCCTTTCGGGAAAGACGAAAGGATCGGACGATGACGATGCTGCAGCAGCGGCGGCCGCGGCGCTGCTGGCCGCGGGAGTAGGGGTGGGGGACGGGAAGGGGGAGGCGGAGGGGGAGGAGGCGGAAGGGGCGATGTCTTTGGGGGAGTTGCGCGCGGGGGTGATGACGGTGGTCAGCCTGATTCCGTTCTTCAACTGGCTGGTGATTATAACGAGTGACTGTTGATATGGATGGAATATTCCAATGATTGGAAACTTCGTGACCCATAGGTGAATGGGATGACTGGATCTTATGGCATGGTTGGTTGTTATGACATGGGAGAATTTAATTGTTTTTCGTCTCCATAAGGTTCTGAAATGTGATGTTCAAGGCTCAGTGTGACAGTATACGAAGTGTGGCTGTCTATAATTGTGTTCTTGTGTCGATTGTCAGGTGCCTTAATTTGTGTTATGTGATTGATTGTATGGTGGCAGTGCTGGGTGCTGGCATGGATTGATTCTCGTGACTCCAAGTACATACATCCTCCGTGCAGCTGTTAGGCGCCTTAATCAGTGTGCTGTGATTGGATGATTGTTTGGTGGCATCGTGGCAGTGCTGGGTGCTGGCGTGGATCGACTCCCGTGATGTCAAGTACATCCTCTTTGCGGCGGTCTATGCCGCACCGTATGCCAGGTGGGTGATGTTCATAATTACCCTATGCAAGCAGTGCTTTGCCAATAATCACCCTATGTTGGGTGCTGGCGTGGATCGACTCTCGTGATGTCAAGTACATCCCCTTTGCGGCAGTCTATGTCACACCCTGTGCCAGGTGTGCATCATCCACGCCAGGTGTGCATCATCCACGCCAGGTGTGCATCATCCACGCCAGGTGTGCATCATCCATGCCAGGTGTGCATCATCCATGCCAGGTGTGCATCATCCATGCCAGGTGTGCAATGCCCATCATTACACTTGCCAATCGTTAGCTTGTGCCAGAAATGCGAACCCAATTTTATGCAAGGTATGCAACACCTGACAATTTTAACGTCCCATTGTCGACCTCCTCTCTTGACCCCTCTTGACCCCCGTTTCTTGACCCCCCTCTCTTGACCCCCGTTTCTTGACCCCCCTCTCTTGACCCCCGTTACTTGACCCCCCTCTCTTGACCCCCGTTTCTTGACCCCCCTCTCTTGACCCCCGTTTCTTGACCCCCCTCTCTTGACCCCCCTCTCTTGACACCCCTCTCTTGACTCCCGTCTCTTGACCCCCCTCTCCTGACCGTCCTCTCTGGACCGCTCATTGCAACTATATTTCTGATCCCACAGGGGCGGTCTCACCCTGGCAATGGACGGCAACTGGCTCCCTCTCTTCAGCATTGCAGCATGTGCATTGCATGTCCAGGTCAGCTTGTGCCTTCCTGTTTGGCTCGCTTTGGGATCACTGGGGGTTTCTGACTTGATTCAATTAGTTGGTTTTTTACCTTGAAGTGGTCTAGGGGCCATTGAAGTGGTCACTTAGTTAATTATCGATTTGTTGATTAAAAGATTGGCATCATGCATACCTTGTCATATTACCTTGGAATTGTTGGGTGGGGTCCAACCAGGTTGACAATGTAGCTGTGGAGCGAAGGAAGCTGGCCTCCAAGATTAAGTGCGCCAAGGTGGGTACCAGGAATGCTTCTGCGAGCAAGTGTACCAGTTTCTTATTTCTATTATATTTCTCACTTCTTTCTTCTCCGCGCTTCCTGTTTGCAAGTCATCGTTTTCTAGATTATCTGCTTCGTGCTTCGAGATTTTTGCTTTGTTCGCATCCAACACCCTGCATCAACCTCCCCGCATCGTCCCTCCCTAGCAGAAAAGGGGCAGTCTTCCAGGTAGTGCCAAGGACAAGGGCAGCAACACAAAGCAGAGCAAGTGATGGGGGTCGAGGAGAGGAGAGGGGATGGTGTGGGTGACACAATGAGGGAATTGCAGGTTAGCAACAGCATGAAATGCAACCAGTTTGTTCCTAGCACTAGTTACGGTAGTATGCGCTGTACAGCTAATGTACAGCTGATATTAGCTAGGGTCGGTGACTGCTCTTCACTGCACAGCAGATGCGTGTGCTACACTCTATACAGGTTGTGTGTTATCTTGTACAGAAGCTGATATTGTTTGTGTAAAAAAAAATTAGTTTTGTGTTCGGTTTTTATTGCCTCAGCACCTTGATACTCCCCAAACATAAGAGGTATTAATGTTTGGTTTTTATTGCCTCAGCAGCCTTGACGCTCGCCAAACATGTATTAATGTTTACACTGGATAATTCCTATGGATTGTATCGCACCTGGCCACTCAGATCATGAAGCAGTAAAATCGAACTCCCGTCCCCCTTTCAAGAAATTGAGAAACCGTCTCTCTGTTGCCTGTCTTCGCTTCACCTCCAACTGCTGCTTCGGCATCACATCACAGTACCGCCCGTACCCTTTTCCAACAGGCGCCCCAAACGCAGCATCCCCTCCTGCCGCCAAAACAGCAGGTCCTTTAACCTGCTCGTGAACCGGGCTGCTCGCTCCTCTATTTCGCACGCTACTGCTGCCTCTGCTGCTACTGCTGCGGGTGCTTTGGCTGCTGTGAGTGCTTCCGGACTCCCAACCAGGGCTCAAGACACCTGCTGCGGTCAACCCACCAGCACCATCACGCCTACTGTTCCCTGCTTCAGACACTCTCCTCTCTTCCCATAGAACAGGGCTTGCAGACCACGAGCTGCTGCTGCTGCCAGTGCTGCTGCCGGTACCAGTCATGCCACCGCTGCCAGTGCTGCCGGTGCTGCCGGTGCTGCCCCTGCGGCTGGTCATGTGAACTGGAGATTCCAACCACATAGGGGGAGGCTGTGACTGTGGCGCTGCTGTTCCTGCTGATGCTGCCTCTGCGCACGCATTGTCATCATAGCTGCTGCAATCAGCAACGCGGGATGACCTTTTCTTCCACCAGAGACCAAGACCTGGGCTGCCGGGGACTTTCCTCCTTACTGCACCACCGTCGCTATCCCTCCTGCTCCTGCTGTTGCTGCTGCTTCTGCCGCTTCTGCTGCTGCTGCTGCCGAATCTCCAGCTGCTACCAAACAGCCCGCCACCTGTCTTGCTTCCTAACTCCACATTCCCCTTCCCACTGCTGCCAAACACTCCCTTGCTTTCTGAAGCACCTCCTGCCACGATTCTGTCAAAATCACCAGGCTGCAGCTGCTGACACAGGTCACTGTGGTGGGGCTGGTAGCTTGCTGCTTCGTGAGAAGATGTAGAAGCAGAGTCCACAGGGATCAGGCCCAGGTCTTCAAGGCGAGCTTGGGATAGGGAGGAGGCCAGGGAAGCAGCAGGTGAAGAGGGCGTGGGAAGAGAGGACGAGAAGGGAGGAGTGGTTTCTGTGAGTTTGCGAGCTCTCTCCTCTGCCTTGCGCCTGCTGCTGCGGAAGCCAAACCGGCCCCTGCCAACCCACCCTGCTGAACCTCCTGCTTCTGCTTCTGCCGCCTCCGCCGCTGCTGCTGCTCTCGTTGCTGCTGGGCCGTCCGACCTTCCCCTAGAGATAGAAGATCTGAAGCGAGGAGGACCACTGGTGCGGCGCTGCATTCCCGAGGCGTGTGAGGGCAGCATTTGGGCCGCCTCACGAAGATGCGTGCCTTCTGTGGCGTGTGGGTGGAGTGGTTCAGAGGCAGCGGCATGGTCGAGGGAGAGGTGAGGGAGGGCGTGCGCATGGAAGGAGGAGAAGGAGGAGGCGGGAGAATAAAACGCCTCTGACTCTCCTCCATCCCATCTTTCTTCCTCCTCACCATCATCACCCATCCCTGCTGCTGCCGCCACCGCTCCTCCTCCTCCGCTTCCTCCCCCAACTCTCTCCCGCTGCTTCTCCTTGCGAGCACGGTGCTCGCACATGGCCTCTCTGATCCGCACATACAGCTGCTCCTCCTCCAGAACCTTCCGGAACGCCTTCCCCTTGCCGCCCTTGATATCCGCCAAATCAGATTCGATCTCTTTGCTAAACACCGTGAACAGCATCCCGCCAAACCCTTTGGTGACGAAATTGACCAGTGCGGGCGGCATCTTGAGATCGACGGTGAAGATTCCCCGATAGTGGCAGCGATTCTCTCCCAAGTCCTTCACGGTAAAGCCACCGTTAATGGCCATGCGGACCACGCCCGAGGGCACAGGCGGGACAGCCTCTCGAGGGAAGCCGTGCTTGGCTGGGTTGATCAGCGTGTTGTCTTCTGGCGGCTGGAGGGGGGGGGGTGTGGAAGAGCGGGAATTGGAGAGATGGGAGTGTGATGAGCAACCTTTTCAGGTGAAGCCACCGTTCATGGCCATGCGGACCACGCCCGAGGGTAAAGTTGCAACGGCCTCTCGAGGGAAGCCATGCTTTGCTGGGTTGATCAACGCGTTGTCCTCTGGCGGCTGCGGATGGTGAGAATGGTGGGGATGGTGGGAATGGAGGGCGGGTGGTAACGGCCACGAATGGGCTTCCACGGCGAAGCAGCCGTTGTTGGTCATGCGGACGACGCGTAGGGCACATGATGTATTTATTTACCGACTCTTTCCACGAAGCCACTCACCGTCTGAAGGACGGTCGTGAACCATCCCCGTGTTAGCATCGTACACGCTCAAGAGCATAAAGGCGAACTGCCTCCCAGGGAACGGCCAGGCCCCCTCCCTCCCCACAAACCACGCCACCGCTTACGAGTCAGAACTAGCCACTCACCGTCTGCTGGACCGTGGTGACCATCCCCGTTTTGGCGTCGTAGACGCTCAAGAGCATGAAAGCGAACTCCTTCCCGGGGAACGGCCAGTCAGTCCCCCTCCCCCCCCCATCAAATCACGCCACCGCCCATGAGTCATGACTCAGCCACTCACCGTCTGAAGGACGGTGGTGACCATGCCGGTGTTGGCGTCGTACACGCTCAGGAGCATGAAGACAAACCTTTTCACTAGAAAACCCAAGGGGCCAACCCAAGGGGCCATTTCGAACGACGCCACCGCCCACGAGTAATGTCTAAGCCACTCACCGTCTGAAGGACGGTCGTGACCATGCCGGTGTTGGCGTCGTAGACACTCAAGAGCATGAAGGCGAACTCCTTTCCGGGGAACGGCCAAGGGGTCCTGAACCTGCTCGAGCAACAGGATCCAACCAGCAGCAAGAAGAGGAAATCTGAAACATCATTGCCAGGGCTAGTTGATAAAGGGTAAAAAAATTATTTAAAGCGAATTCTTAGAGTTCCCTGACTGGGTGGGATGGTTCAAAGCTGTGGTGATGAGGTGATTACCTCATGTGAGGGTTATCGTCTGCGAGAGGATTACCTCATGTAAGTGAGGTCGAAGCCGTCGCCAATTCGCTTCAGGTACCGGTTCTCAATCACCTTGTACACAGGCATGTTCTGCTGCGGCCACCTGAAACCACCAAAGTGCAACGAAGTTACACTCTCAAGTCGCAATGTCAAGAGCCAAGGGGACGACGACAGTCATGACTACAGCTGCTGCTGATGTTGATGCTGTCAATACTGATTCGCTGCAGGGGAAGACGCACCATTCTTTGAAAAAGGTGACATCGCGAGTCATGGCGACGGCTGCTTCGACGGGTCCGTTCACGATTCCCTCCATCAGCAGCGTGTGCACCTCCGTCCCTTCCGGCCCCTTGCGCACCATGGCTCGATGCTCCGGACCCTCCTCGCACACCTGCGGATAGGGATTTATTCTTCAGTATTCTTTCTTGAGGCATGCTAATTTTTCGTTTCCCCCAATTCCGTGGATCTTGACAGCGTCATTCAGTCTGCCTCCACTATGGCGCTCGAAATGAACAAAAACCGCTCTCCTGTTTCGGGTAATAAGCGTAGGTGCATGACTGCGCGTCGTACCTTCCATGCTCGTCGATCTCCAGGTGCCATATCCTTCATAGCATCAGCTTTAGCACTGTTCATGTCGTTCAACACCCCCATCATTTCCAACGACCAGTGATTTATGACTTCCTCCGATGAATTCGTAGCTCCTGCACCTGCACAGAGCAAGGTCGAATGATACAGTAGAGATTGATAGTAGGTGTCAGATAACTAGTGTTAGTTCGCAGCTTTAAAAAAACCTGACGGTTTTTGGTCTTCTGATTAGTGCACCGTAACAGCGTTAATTTTTTACGATATTGAATAGATTCAAAAGCGTTACCTCGTTGTGTTAGCTGCTTCCGAATTGCTGTCCTGACTGCTCCGAGGCTGTTCCATTCGGGAGCCTCCAGGGCTTCGTCTAATGCGGTCATGCCATCAACAAGCGGCATGGCTTCTCCTCAAACTTGCCACTTCTATACTGAGTTAGTATAGTGAGATTAAGTACACTGAGGTAGTTACGCGCTTTGCGAGAACCTACTAGACACGCTGCTGCATAGGCTAATCCTTCGCTTCAAACGTGTCAAAGCGCAGATTTCTTGAAACGCGCGCAAATGAGTTGAATTGTGTCGCCAACAACCTACAACAGGGTATGAGGCCCCGCACCTACTGGAGTAAAAGGCAGCTGAGTATGAAAATGCTACTTGATGAGCGAAGGTCACTAGAGCTCTGATCGTCTAGAATGCTGTGGAAGTCTGAAGCCTGAGAATGATCAGCTGTACAATTTCCAAGCGGTGGAGCTGTGGATGAAATCGAGGCAAATGTTTGATTTGGCAGCTGCACAAATCCCAAGGGGGATGATGGGGTTTGACGCGCCTCGAGTTTGGGAATGACGGAAAATGTCGAGCCCCTCCGTCAGTTTCGCATCAAACTTGGACTTCGGGCTGTCTGTGTGGGCTGATGGTGGAAGTTTTTGTGACGGAAGGCCATCGCATGGACGACGGGATGGGAGGTTTGATGGGCGGACACATCCGACGTGGCCCTCGCTCCGTGGTCGATTGTGGAGCCGTCAGCATCGACTGGAGTCGCTCATTTGCGGGAAATATTCAGAGCCAAAATGGAGGCACGTTGTGACCCCCAAGCGACACTGTATGGGAGGTATTGTCAGTCCACTTCTGAATTTCCCTGTCACCCCGAAAACGAATAGCACGTGGAATCACGTAGTGTCACGGGCAGGTTTTGTGGCAGACCGCTTCGGCAAAACGGGTGTTTGTTGGCCAACCAGCGCGTTCGCTGACCCATCACGATTGATGACAATCTACCCCACTGAAGGAATTCCTCTGACGACAGCTGACTGGAATAGGTTAAGCAACCAGCAGCAGTGGGGAGTAGAGAGGTCTCCGAACCCTAAAGACAGCAAAAGAGCTCCGTTGCCGGGATTTGAACCCGGGTCGCCTGGGTGAAAGCCAGGTATCCTAACCAGGCTGGACGACAACGGATGTTAGTGAGGATAAATAAATACTACAGGAAATAGTTTTAACATCTTATATCGACACGCTCTTCGATTGTCTTCTCGCCCTCTCACCATGGCTCTCAGTTATTCCCCAACATGCCTGGCTGTTGGTTCCGAACTGACAGTCCAACGTGGCATTCCCTCAACATTTGCCTCCAAATGTAGCCAAATTGGCGGCGTTGATCTCCTCCAATGGAAGGGCTCCACGTTGCACCTCAAGGCACGGCGGCATTCCACATCGACGGCACCGCGCACTGCGAAAGTGGTCGCTATGGCGGGCAAGAAGGGGAAGAAGGGCGGGGGAGGCGGCGGAAGAACCGGCGGAGGGGGAGGCGGAGGCGGCGGTGCCGGCGGAGGCGGAGGCGGCGGGGGCGGGGGGAAGCTGAAGTCGGCGGGCAGCAAGGCTCCGTCCGCGGATCGCGGGACGGCGTACCAGAACGAGACGCGGAAGATCATCCTCAGCGTGAACCGCCTCCGCAAGGCACGTTGAAAATCAACTCTACTAGAGATTTTCGTGGCAGAGATTCCCCGTTGCGTGCAAAGCAAATGCTGTTGCGTTCGGTGCCCCTCGCGTCCGCCGGGCTTTGCTGGACGGGATTCAGGGTTCAAGTCGCCGTTCTGTTCAAGGGAAGAGACACGGACGGTGAAGGTCTCCAACGAACGCAACAGCATTTGCGCGGAGAAGCCCGAAGTTTCATGCGCAATCTAGAGATTGCTCTCTAGAGATGTACCTCGGGTGATTGCTCTCCATCCCCCCCCCTCACTCCACCACCCTCCCCCCCCCTCACTCCACCACCCTCCCCCCCCCTCACTCCACCACCCTCCCCCCCCCTCACTCCACCACCCTCCCCCCCCCTCACTCCACCACCCTCCCCCCCCCTCACTCCACCACCCTCCCCCCCCCTCACTCCACCACCCTCCCCCCCCCTCACTCCACCACCCTCCCCCCCCCTCACTCCACCACCCTTCCCCCCCCTCACTCCACCACCCTCCCCCCCCCTCACTCCACCACCCTCCCCCCCCCTCACTCCACCACCCTCCTCCCACCCGATGCTCACCTCGCGCCAAGCAGGTCGCCCCCAACGGCAAGGGATTCTGAAGAACATCACCCTGGGCATGTATCTAGGGGCCAAGATCGGGTTCCTGGGGGCCAACGGGGCCGGCAAGAGTTCCCACATGCGCATTCTGGCGGGCAAAGACACGACGTTTGAGGGGGGTATCCCACTCACCTCCTCCCCTCCTCCCCCTCCTCCTTGCCCTCCTCCTCTCCCTCACCCCCCCCAGGTCGCCCCCAACGGCAAGGAGATCTTAAAGAACATCAGCCTGGGCATGTACCTGGGCGCCAAGATTGGGTTTCTGGGAGCCAACGGAGCGGGCAAGAGTTCTCTCATGCGCATTCTGGCGGGGAAAGACACGACGTTCGAGGGGGATTATTACATTGATCCGAGCATCAAGATTGGGTACCTGGAGCAGGAGCCGCTGCTGGATGATGGGGTGACTGTTATGGATAATATCGAACCTGCTCTTAAGGAGACCAAGGACCTGCTTCAGGAGTTTGAGGAGGTGAGATGAGGGGATGGGAGGGGAGGAGGCTTAGGGAAGGGAAGCATTCGAGAAGGAAACAGAATACACACACAGGTCCCTTGATGAGCACACAACTTATGCCTCTATGCATGGGTACCTAAGTGTTAGAAAAAATATATATTGTAGCATGCCAACACTTGTGACTGTACACCACTTGTGGTGTACAGTTGGGTTGGGACAACACCCAACTTTGGGTGTAGTCTTGCATTGGGGTGCCAATCCAATCCAATTGTGGTGGAGCCCCTAAATGCAACCCACTTGGCTTAAGGTTGCCTCACTTCCCACAAGTGAGGCCAATCTAGCTCAAGTGGGCCTAAGGTTGCCTCACTTCCACAAAGTGTGAGCAACTCAACCCACTTGACCTAAGGTTGTCCCACTTCCACAAAGTGTGTGCAACTCAACCCACTTGACCTAAGGTTGCCTCACTTCCACAAAGTGTGAGCAACTCAACCCACTTGACCTAAGGTTGTCCCACTTCCACAAAGTGTGTGCAACTCAACCTACTTAACCTAAGGTTGCCTCACTTCTACAAAGTGTGGGCAACCCAACCCACTTGACCTAAGGTTGCCTCACTTCCACAAAGTGTGGGCAACCCAACCCACTTGACCAAAGGTTGCCTCACTTCTACAAAGTGTGGGCAACCCAACCCACTTGACCTAAGGTTGCCTCACTTCCACAAAGTGTGAGCAACTCAACCCACTTGACCTAAGGTTGTCCCACTTCCACAAAGTGTGTGCAACTCAACCTACTTAACCTAAGGTTGCCTCACTTCTACAAAGTGTGGGCAACCCAACCCACTTGACCTAAGGTTGCCTCACTTCCACAAAGTGTGGGCAACCCAACCCACTTAACCTAAGGTTGCCTCACTTCTACAAAGTGTGGGCAACCCAACCCACTTGACCTAAGGTTGCCTCATTTCTACAAAGTGTGGGCAACCCAACCCACTTGACCTAAGGTTGCCTCACTTCTACAAAGTGTGGGCAACCCAACCCACTTGACCTAAGGTTGCCTCACTTCCACAAAGTGTGGGCAACCCAACCCACTTGACCAAAGGTTGCCTCACTTCCACAAAGTGTGTGCAACTCAACCCACTTGACCTAAGGTTGCCTCGCTTCCACAAAGTGTGAGCAACTCAACCCACTTGACCTAAGGTTGCTTCACTTCCACAAAGTGTGGGCAACCCAACCCACTTGACCAAAGGTTGCCTCACTTCTACAAAGTGTGGGCAACCCAACCCACTTGACCTAAGGTTGTCCCACTTCCACAAAGTGTGTGCAACTCAACCTACTTGACCTAAGGTTGCCTCACTTCCATAAAGCGTGGGCAACCCAACCGACTTGACCTAAAGTTGCTTCACTTCCACAAAGTGTGGGCAACCCAACCCACTTAACCTAAGGTTGCCTCACTTCCACAAAGTGTGGGCAACCCAACCCACTTGACCTAAGGTTGCCTCACTTCCACAAAGTGTGGGCAACCCAACCCACTTGACCTAAGGTTGCCTCACTTCTACAAAGTGTGGGCAACCCAACCCACTTGACCAAAGGTTGCCTCACTTCTACAAAGTGTGGGCAACCCAACCCACTTGACCTAAGGTTGCCTCACTTCCACAAAGTGTGGGCAACTCAACCCACTTGACCTAAGGTTGTCCCACTTCCACAAAGTGTGTGCAACTCAACCTACTTGACCTAAGGTTGCCTCACTTCCATAAAGCGTGGGCAACCCAACCCACTTGACCTAAAGTTGCTTCACTTCCACAAAGTGTGGGCAACCCAACCCACTTAACCTAAGGTTGCCTCACTTCCACAAAGTGTGGGCAACCCAACCCACTTGACCTAAGGTTGCCTCACTTCCACAAAGTGTGGGCAACCCAACCCACTTGACCAAAGGTTGCCTCACTTCTACAAAGTGTGGGCAACCCAACCCACTTGACCTAAGGTTGCCTCACTTCCACAAAGTGTGAGCAACTCAACCCACTTGACCTAAGGTTGTCCCACTTCCACAAAGTGTGTGCAACTCAACCTACTTAACCTAAGGTTGCCTCACTTCTACAAAGTGTGGGCAACCCAACCCACTTGACCTAAGGTTGCCTCACTTCCACAAAGTGTGGGCAACCCAACCCACTTAACCTAAGGTTGCCTCACTTCTACAAAGTGTGGGCAACCCAACCCACTTGACCTAAGGTTGCCTCATTTCTACAAAGTGTGGGCAACCCAACCCACTTGACCTAAGGTTGCCTCACTTCTACAAAGTGTGGGCAACCCAACCCACTTGACCTAAGGTTGCCTCACTTCCACAAAGTGTGGGCAACCCAACCCACTTGACCAAAGGTTGCCTCACTTCCACAAAGTGTGTGCAACTCAACCCACTTGACCTAAGGTTGCCTCGCTTCCACAAAGTGTGAGCAACTCAACCCACTTGACCTAAGGTTGCTTCACTTCCACAAAGTGTGGGCAACCCAACCCACTTGACCAAAGGTTGCCTCACTTCTACAAAGTGTGGGCAACCCAACCCACTTGACCTAAGGTTGTCCCACTTCCACAAAGTGTGTGCAACTCAACCTACTTGACCTAAGGTTGCCTCACTTCCATAAAGCGTGGGCAACCCAACCGACTTGACCTAAAGTTGCTTCACTTCCACAAAGTGTGGGCAACCCAACCCACTTAACCTAAGGTTGCCTCACTTCCACAAAGTGTGGGCAACCCAACCCACTTGACCTAAGGTTGCCTCACTTCCACAAAGTGTGGGCAACCCAACCCACTTGACCTAAGGTTGCCTCACTTCTACAAAGTGTGGGCAACCCAACCCACTTGACCAAAGGTTGCCTCACTTCTACAAAGTGTGGGCAACCCAACCCACTTGACCTAAGGTTGCCTCACTTCCACAAAGTGTGGGCAACTCAACCCACTTGACCTAAGGTTGTCCCACTTCCACAAAGTGTGTGCAACTCAACCTACTTGACCTAAGGTTGCCTCACTTCCATAAAGCGTGGGCAACCCAACCCACTTGACCTAAAGTTGCTTCACTTCCACAAAGTGTGGGCAACCCAACCCACTTAACCTAAGGTTGCCTCACTTCCACAAAGTGTGGGCAACCCAACCCACTTGACCTAAGTTTGCCTCACTTTAGACATGATCACGAGTCGAGTCGAGTCGAGTCTCTTCAAGTCGTGGTCGAGTCGTGATTATGGTCGAGTCGTGTCACCCTCGAGTCGGTTTTGGGTGAATGCTGACTCGAGACTCGATTTAGGGGTCGAGTCAAGCCTGACTTGAGGGCGAGGCAGGCGACTCGCGAGTCAGGTTTGGCTCGCCCTGTATTTCTGTTTCCCAGAAACAAGTGGCGAATTTCGTGAACGTTACAATTTCCACCCAATCAATATTTTTCGTGAACGATAGAATCCGCCTCTGTCAGACCCTTGGGCGCAAAACGTCATTTGATGTGAATCGGTGTGCTGGATCTGTCTCAAAAGCACCATCCAATCCCAAGGCGTGTAGTTGGAGATTTCGTGATTATACAAACATCTATGTGTCAAACCCTATTGGCGAGCAAACAGTTTGGCGAGAAAGCAGCGCGATGTGCTGAACCGTTGCGAAACAATCAAAATCGCTCACATGTCCGGTCCAATCAAGTGCTTTCGTGATTTTCGCATTTCCTTTCGTCACATCCCAGGGCATGGCAATTCACCAAACCCTGAACCTGAGCTCAAATATTGGCGTATTTCGTGACTGTCAAAATCCACCTGTGAAATAACACGTTGGTTTCCTAGTCAGCTTACACGTGTTTCGATGTAGCGATAAGGAGTTTAGGGTAGGTACACGTAGCAACCACTACACCCCTGCTCTTAGTGGCATCGAGTCACTCGACTCGTCTCAGCACTAAGACTCGTACGAGTCAAAGTCGAGTCGAGTCGCCGAGTCAGCGATGCATTGCCAAATCCAAAAAGCGTGACTCGACTCAACTCGTCACGAGTCAAATCCCAAAGTGTGGGCAACCCAACCCACTTGACCTAAGGTTGCCTCACTCCCCGAGTGAGGCCAACCCAACCTTTGGTCAAAACCGCCCTTCCCCTCCAAGCTTCTCTCCCATCTATGTGTGCTTGTTTCTCTTCTAATCTAATCACTTGTTCAGTCTACAACTTTCACACTAAGTCCTTTTGTTCTTATGTCAGATGTGCTAAATCCAGATGTCCTCTTATTCACATGTGCTCATATCCTTCATATGTGCTTGTATCCATACATGCAGGTGAGTGTGGCGATGGCATCAGCGGGCGATGCTGACATGGACAAGCTGATGGCTCAGATGGAACGCCTGCAGACCCGCCTGGATGCCTGCAACGGCTGGGAGCTGGACAGGCAGCTTCAGGTGAGTCCTCAGGTGGAAACCGCAAAGGCAGACAGCTGCAGGTGGGTCCTCAGGTGGAAACAACAGAGGCAGGTAGCTGCATGCAGGTGAGTGCTCAGATAGAAACAACAGATTCAGGGAGCTGCAGGCGAGTTCTCAGGTGGAAACAGAGACGCAGACAGCTTCAGGTGAGTCCTCAGGTGGAATCAGCAGAGGCAAGCTGCTGCAGGTGGGTCCTCTGCGAGGCAGTTTGTTCAACAAGTGCCTCTCGGTGTGCCATCCACGCTGCATGCCGTGCCGCCCATACTGCTGAATGCCGCCCGTACTGCCGCCCATGGTGCCAGATCAGATCAGATCAGATCATTCAATCCTACTTCCATCCTCGTCCCCCCACCTCTCCCTTACCATCCGTATCCCCCTATGCAACCTCTGTCCGCTCCCCCCTCCCTGCTGGCAGAGAGCCATGGACGCTCTGCGCTGCCCCCCCAGTTTTGAGGCGCCTCAACCCCCCCCCCCCCCCCCCCAATGATGCCCTTGTGGTGGACCTGAGTGGTGCTGTCACTAGCCCTCGTGGTCTGATCCCCGTTCTCAAGCTCACTTGCACCGCTCTCCACCCATCTCTCTGCCTCCTTTGCCTGCAGAGAGCCATGGACGCGCTGCGCTGCCCCGCTGGTGAGGCCCCCGTGGCGAACCTGAGTGGCGGAGAGAGGAGGCGCGTGGCCCTGTGCCGCCTGCTGTTGCAGGTGAGGGGAGGGAGAGGGGGTGGAGAGGGAGGAGTGGGGATCGGGGGAAGTCATTCCATACCATGCTTGTTACACAAACACCCTTCTTCAGTGAACCTGAGTGGCGGGGAGAGGAGGCGCGTGGCTCTGTGCCGCCTGCTGCTGCTGCAGGTGAGAGGAGGGAGGGAGCGAGGTGGTGGTAGGGTAGGGGAGAGAGAGGAAGCCGTTTTTTTTCATGCTTGGTACAATCACCATTGTGGACCAAGCACGAGAGAGGAATGAGAACCTGCGTGGTGGAGAGAGGAGGCGCGTGGCTCTGTGCCGCCTGCTGCTGCTGCAGGTGAGGTCAGGGAGGGAGGTGGTGAGGGGGGGTTAGTGTTCGCTGTCTGACTGGAGGTAATATCTTCTGTTTCTTTTCTGCCACAGCGACACGAGACTTACCCCACGCACCCTCCCCTCCTCCCCCCCCCCAGTTATTGGCTGGATGGACCAGCCAATGGCGTTCTTTCTGTGACTCACCCCCTCCCCTTTCGATCCCCTCTTGCGAGGGTTTTTTTTCCTCTCTGCTCTCCTGCCTGTTCCGTGTATCCCACCCCCAGGCGCCGGACATTCTGTTCCTGGACGAGCCCATCAACCATCTGGACGCGGAGACAGTGGCATGGCTGGATGGATCCACTCTTGCATCCCACCCCCCTTCTCCCCCCTCCCCACACACACTCCCCCTTACCTCTGCTCACTCTCAGGCGCCCGACATTCTGTTCCTGGAGGAGCCCACAAACCACCTGGACGTGGAGGCGTTGGTGCGTGGCTGGAGACATACCGACCAATGCCTCCGCGTCCAGGTGGTTCGTTATGCCACCCGAACGCAGAGCGGAACCCCTTATGAAAAATCCCTTCCTTCCCCCCTGCTCACTCTCAGGCGCCGGACATTCTGTTCCTGGACGAGCGCACCAACCATCTCGATGCGGAGGCAGTGCCATGGCTGGATGGAAGCACTCTTTGTAAATCGCCTCCTTCCCCCCCCCCCCCTTTCTACCACTCTCAGGCGCCGGACATTCTGTTTCTGGACGAGCCCACGAACCATCTCGACGCAGAGGCAGTGGCATGGCTGGAGCGATACTTGGCGGAGTTCAAAGGCACTGTGGTCGCCATCACTCATGACAGATACTTCCTCGATAATGTGAGTGTAGTAGATGACTTGACTACTATGATGGGTCCTTCTCGTTCCCTGCTCTCCGACCTTGCACTCCGACCCTGCACTCTGACCCGGCACTCCGACCCTGCACTCCGACCCTGCACTCCGACCCTGCACTCCGACCGTGCACTCTGACCCTGCTCTCCGACCTTGCAATCCGACCCTGCACTCTGACCCGGCACTCCGACCCTGCACTCCGACCCTGCACTCCGACCCTGCACTCCGACCCTGCACTCCGACCCTGCACTCCGACCGTGCACTCCGACCGTGCACTCCGACCCTGCACTCCGACCGTGCACTCCGACCGTGCACTCCGACCGTGCACTCCGACCGTGCACTCCGACCCTGCACTCCGACCGTGCACTCCGACCGTGCACTCCGACCGTGCACTCCGACCCTGCACTCCGACCCTGCACTCCGACCCTGCACTCCGACCCTGCACTCCGACCGTGCACTCCGACCGTGCACTCCGACCGTGCACTCCGACCCTGCACTCCGACCCTGCACTCCGACCGTGCACTCCGACCGTGCACTCCGACCGTGCACTCCGACCGTGCACTCCGACCGTGCACTCCGACCGTGCACTCCGACCGTGCACTCCGACCCTGCACTCCGACCCTGCACTCCGACCGTGCACTCCGACCGTGCACTCCGACCCTGCACTCCGACCGTGCACTCCGACCGTGCACTCCGACCGTGCACTCCGACCGTGCACTCCGACCCTGCACTCCGACCGTGCACTCCGACCGTGCACTCCGACCGTGCACTCCGACCCTGCACTCCGACCCTGCACTCCGACCCTGCACTCCGACCGTGCACTCCGACCGTGCACTCCGACCGTGCACTCCGACCGTGCACTCCGACCGTGCACTCCGACCGTGCACTCCGACCCTGCACTCCGACCCTGCACTCCGAACCTGCACTCGAGCCCTTTAGTCCATCGAAGCCCTTCTAGTCCCCTTTGTGAGACCTTTGAGTCGACTCAAAAGTCAGCTTTGTGAGACCTTTGAGTCGACTCAAAAGTCAGCTTTGTGAGACCTTTGAGTCGACTCAAAAGTCAGCTTTGTGAGACCTTTGAGTCGACTCAAAAGTCAGCTTTGTGAGACCTTTGAGTCGACTCAAAAGTCAGCTTTGTGAGACCTTTGAGTCGACTCAAAAGTCAGCTTTGTGAGACCTTTGAGTCGACTCAAAAGTCAGCTTTGTGAGACCTTTGAGTCGACTCAAAAGTCAGCTTTGTGAGACCTTTGAGTCGACTCAAAAGTCAGCTTTGTGAGACCTTTGAGTCGACTCAAAAGTCAGCTTTGTGAGACCTTTGAGTCGACTCAAAAGTCAGCTTTGTGAGACCTTTGAGTCGACTCAAAAGTCAGCTTTGTGAGACCTTTGAGTCGACTCAAAAGTCAGCTTTGTGAGACCTTTGAGTCGACTCAAAAGTCAGCTTTGTGAGACCTTTGAGTCGACTCAAAAGTCAGCTTTGTGAGACCAAACGCAACGATTGAGTCGCGTCTTGTGTGTCCCCCTTTATTTTACTCCTGTCTTGATCTCCCCCTTCCTTCCCAGGTGGCGGGGTGGATTCTGGAGCTTGACCGCGGGCAGGGCATTCCCTTTGAGGGCAACTACTCCGCTTGGCTCGAGAACAAGGCGCAGCGCCTGGGGGCGGAGGAGAAGCAGCAATCGGCGCTGCAGCGGGTTATGGAGAGGGAGATGGAGTGGATTCGACAGAAGGCCAAGGGGCAACAGAAGAAGGGCAAGGTGAGAGAAGGGAGTGAAACAGAGGAAATTACAGGGAAATAGTGATTCAGGCGAGCCATTACTCGCGAGACGAGAGGCTGGAGAGCATTTTCTGCCTGCTCCACCATTCCCTCCACTCCAAGCGAGCCAGTACTCAAACAGGGAGACATATTCTCTCGAGAGAACATGCTCCTGCTTGCTTCGTCCTCCCCCCAACCCCCCCAACTCCCAGGCGCGCATGCGAGCGTATGCAGAGCTGTGATTCAGGCGAGCCAGTATTCTCGGAAAGAGAGGCTGGAGAGCATGTTTCTTGCCTCTTTCACTGCTATTACCTGCCTCCTCTCCTCACTGCAAGCAACCCCACTTTCAGTTCCCCCCTTCCCAATCCCCCAGACCCGCGTGCAAGCATACGAGGAGGTAGTGATTTGGGAGGAGGTAGTGATTTGGGAGGAGAAACTGGAGAGCATGTTGCTGTCTTGTCCACCATTCCCGCCTGTCCCTGATCCCCCCTCCTCTCATAACCACAGGCGCGCATGCGGGCATATGAAGAGCTGGTCATTCAGGCGAGTCAGTATTCCCGAGAGGAGAGGCTAGAAAGCATGTTCCTGCCGCCAGGCCTGTCCGTCTTTCACTCCTGCCTGCCCCCTGTACTGTCCCAAACCCACAGGCGCGCATGCGGGCATATGAAGAGCTGGTCATTCAGGCGAGTCAGTATTCCCGAGAGGAGAGGCTGGAGAGCATGTTCCTGCCGCCGGGGCCGCGGTTGGGAGATGTGGTGGTGGAGGCGGAGGGGGTTGCCAAGGCGTTTGGGGAGAGGGTGCTCATGGATGGGGTCAACTTCACGCTGCCTCCTGGAGGTATGGCGTAGTGGTGTGCGGTATAGTATGGTTTGTGTGGTGTGGCCTGGAGGTATGGCATGTGGCATGGTGCAGCCGGCTGGGAGATGTGGTGGTGGAAGGGGAGGGAGTGGCCGAGGCGTTTGGGGAGCGTGTGCTCATGGATGGGGTCAACTGCACCCTGCCTCCTGGAGGTATGGCGTGGTGCTGTGGTGTGTCTGGAGCATGATACCATGGCATGGTGTTTCTGAGAATTCTCAAAAATACGCAGCATGATTCCATGGCATGGCTTGTGGTGCATGGATGGATTCTGCTTCAACTTGACGTCTGGAGGTGTGGCAGCATGCAACTGCTTTCACTCCTAGAAGAATCCAGAGTTGACTTTCGAGTCGACTCAAAAGTCACCTGGATGCTTTCACTCCTAGAAGAATCCAGAGTTGACTTTCGAGTCGACTCAAAAGTCACCTGGATGCTTTCACTCCTAGAAGAATCCAGAGTTTCCTTCCGCCGTGCAGGCATTGTGGGGGTAATCGGTGGCAATGGTGCTGGCAAGTCGACCCTCTTTCGCATAATCATGGGGCCAAGACAGCCCCAATGAGGGCTTTCTGCGAGTGGGGGAGACTGCGGCAGGCACCTGCAAGTTTTACAAGCTCTCCCCATCCCTCGCCCCCCTAAAACCCAACCCTTCCCCGACCCTTCCGCTTCCTTTTGCAGGCATTGTGGGGGTCATCGGTGGCAACGGTGCCGGCAAGTCAACCCTCTTCCGCATGATTGTGGGGCAAGACAGCCCCAATGAGGGCACGCTGCGAGTGGGAGAGACTGTGGCGCCCGCGAGCTTACAAGCTCTCCCCTTCTCCTCCCAACCCCCCTTCACCGCCCCTTCAACCCCTTGCAACGTGCCGTGCAGGCATCGTGGGGGTGATTGGTGGCAACGGTGCCGGCAAGTCAACTCTCTTCCGCATGATTGTGGGTCAGGACAGCCCCAATGAGGGTTCCCTACGCGTGGGGGAGACGGTGGCGCCGCTCTATGTCGACCAATCACGCGATGCGCTTGATCCCAACAAGACGGTGTTTGAGGAGATCACGGGCGGCGCAGACGAGATCCTGCTGGGTGGGTTTGTTTGTCCTTAAGTGGACATGAGATTTTGTCCCTTAGTGGAGATGGGATCTGGTTGGGTGAGTTTGACGTTTACACGAGCTGTGGTTAATAGTTGCACGTTGTACAGTTACACATGCTACAGTCACAGATGCAACTGCCGCACACCTGATACAGTCTCACAGCCTTCCCTCTCTAACTCCCTTAAATGGCAGGCGAGCGGAAGGTGAACAGCCGGGCGTACTGTGCGTGGTACAACTTCAAGGGGGCGGACCAGCAGAAGAAGGTGGGCGTGCTGTCGGGCGGCGAGAGGAACCGCGTGCACCTGGCGCGCATCATGCGGCGCGGAGGCAACCTGCTCATGCTGGACGAACCCACCAACGACCTCGATGTTGACACGCTCAGGGCGCTGGAGGACGCGATTCAGGGGTTTGCTGGATGCGTGATTGTCATCTCTCACGACCGGTGGTTCTTGGATCGCATTGCCACGCACATCATGGCCTTTGAAGGCAACTCCAAGGTGCGTTTCTTCAGAGTTTTCAGACGTGACTCCGATACCTCGATGTGATTCAGGGTTTTCAAAGCATGTTGTGTAAGAGACAGCCACGCGCATGTATGGTGTTGAGCCACACTGTTCTGCTTTGTTGTTGACATTTCTGATATCTACCCCTGAACGTTTCCGAAGCAGGTGGTTTGGTTTGAAGGCTCGTACAGTGACTACGAGGAGGACAGGAGGAGGCGGCTTGGGAACAAAGAACCATCACGTCTTAAGTACAGGGCGCTAGCATGATGTGGCATTCTTGCCGGAAACTCTGATGTATAACATGCCATACCAAACGTGCCATTACATGAAGCGATTTTAACGGGGCCTTTGCAGCTTGGATTTTCTGATTCAGCTTGTCTTGCATACTGTATTCCTCTTTGTTTTTGAATGGAGCTCAAAGGGAGTTGAACTTTGATCAGTAACCAACTGAACGTTGCATGCATGTTCATGGCTCACTCACACAAATACTACTGGTAGTCAGCCAGCAAGTTCAAAAGAATGCCCTCCTTTATGTAGTGTGAAATGCAGACAATCATGTGAGCTGTGACGGACAGCCAGCTCTCCTTCCTACGGTAGCTCATGGTTGCCAGGTACCGGTAGGTCGTAGCGGCCGAATCCGAGAGTCCATTCTCCCTCTTCATTATTGATGATGATTCATCAATCAAGTCCTGACACCGCCTTCATCATCTACTTCATCACCAGCGTCATCACCTGCTTCATCACCTGACTCATCATCTGAATCATAATAGCTATAATGATTATGATTCAGATGATAAGTCCATGTCATGGTAGCAACTTTAAATGCCACCTCATGGTCCCGAGTATCTTTACTCATGAACAACTTCTGCAGGAAATAAATGAAGTTAGAAATAGGTGTGCAAGGTGTTACTTGGTGTCCCAAAGAGAACACATACAGACCTTTATGAAGTTAGGACCAGTTTCTTCGTCCAATAGCTCAAAAAGTCTTTTAAATGTGACCTTTGCACCAGCTCGGCCAACAACTTTTAGAACCTCAAGAAAAGTTTCCTCATCGATTTCGTCAAACTGCTCATCCATAATCAGGTTTAACTTGCGGTCCATCACCTTGACTAGATCGGGAACATCATACTCATGCGCCGCTTCAAGTACAGAAAGTCCGCTCTGTAGAAGGTGGCAAACTGTAAAATGCACGCAAAGATCCAACACAAAAACTGCGCGACGCATTCATACCTTGATGGACTCCAACGTAACTGTTATTTCATGACCATACATGAACGAAAGAAACTGCCTCAATGTTGAACCATCCAGCTCCTTTATTTTCACGATTGAATTTTTCTTGTTTGGAGTGTTCTTCCACCTGTTTTCCAGCAGTGAAGACCTGAAAAGAAAGCGATGATAATGTGGAACCGCAATACGATGTTCTTTTGCGACAGTAATAGGTACCATATGGCGACAATGCTGCGATGTGCAGGGATCTTGGTCCCATCTGAGGCCTCAAATACGACGTCGCTAAACTCTGCTTTGTCAAAGATGTCTTTGAGCTTCGGTACATAATCTGGCGCCGCTAGACTGCAAGCGAAAAAGTTCGCTCAGTAATGCATTCGCACACATGCAGCGTTGCATTGGAAAGGAACGTTATTACTGCATGGCCATTGTGAACTGGTAGCAGAAGCGGGAATGTTTCTGCCAGGCGCGTTGGAGAAACAAGAATCTGGCGATGCTCCGGATTGCTGTGTGAGGGAGGTAGTGGAAGTAGGGGTTGAAATGGCGTGCTTGGCTTGGCAACTCCGATCAGAAGCACGCGTTCGATTTCCTGTGTTTCGCAGCGCCATTGATTTGAATATGACTAGAGATTGATTTCGCTAGTCGGAACTGAATTTCGCAGAATGGGCAAATGGTTTTGTAATACAGGAATGTAGCACATTTGTGATCTCTACCCTGGATCAAGGTGCAACAGAGTAGGGTTGGTCTAAATCTAGTGGATTCCGAGCGACAATAGTGGTTCAACAAATAGTCTCAGAATAAAAGCTCTAGAGACAGGTCACAGATCCACATCATCTGATGTAGCAGGCTGTTGTGCAGAGGAAAATTATTACTTCAACATGAGGGCAATCAAACAGCCAGAGGTGCTTACGTTACGTGTACATAGGGCATGATGGTTTCTCCAAGTAATCAACACAGAGCTATGGGTACTTATACGTGGGCGCAGCGGTGGTGGGGGGAGCAGGAGGCACCCTCCTTCCCATGCCCACGCCACTCAGCATCTGCCGCAGAGGCGAAGGGTTGCGGGGGGGACCAGCCGCAATGGGCGCACCCATTGGCTGCCCCATAGGCTGCCCCATAGGCTGCCCCATGGGCTGACCCATACCAGCACCTGCAGCCATAGGAGCTCCTCCCATAGGAGGACCTGCCATAGGCGGCGTTCCCCTCGCCCCCCCACTGCTGCCGTACCCTGCTGCTGCACCCGCACTGCTGCTCATGCCAACACTCCCGCCATACCCCGCAGTGCCAAGGCTCGCGCTGTTAGCCATGCCCATGGGGCTCCCTCCTCCTCCCATAGGAGATGTCATAGGGGCCATGCTCATGCTGGTTCTAGGGGCATAGGAGATGGATGGGGAGGGAGACGATGCCGATCCTGCTCCCCCTGGCCCCCCTGCCCCTCCTCCTGCTCCTGCTCCTGCACCTGCTCCGGATCCTCCTCTCCCTGCCGCTGCAGCTGCTGCTGCTGCTGAAGCCACCGCAGCAGAAGCAGCGGATTGGGATGCAGCAGGAGCGGGGGACGAACCTGTTCCTCCCGAGCCTGAGCCCTTGGGAGTTCCGGAGGAGGTTCGGGCCGGCTTGGTAGATGTTGGGGAGAGAGCAGGAGCGGAGGACCTCGGGGAGGATGCTTCCTCTTGCACGGGGGCCATGGGTGATGCCTTGTTGAAGGCTGCACGCCAGTCATCCACCTTCTCCTTCCCTCCTGGTGTGTGTTTGAGGGGCGAGAGAACGGGGGTGATGCAAAAGGTGGTGGTGCTTAAAGGGGAGCAGAGGATCTATGGGAGAACGCTTCTTCTTGCACGGGGGCCATGGGTGATGCCTTGTTGAAGGCTGCTCGCCAGTCATCCACCTTCTCCTTTCCACCTCGTAAATGATGGGGGTTGAGGGACGGGGGAGGCAAGACAAGAGTTCCTAAAGGAGTGAACCAGAGCTCTTCTCACATAGAAGCTAGATGCTAGCTAGAATAGTAGCTCGAGGGATCAATAACTCATTGAGATACGTATTCCCTGATAGTTGAGGCAAGGGATGGGGAGGAAGGACAAAGGTGCAAAAGTGATGCATACGAGGGTGAACGTGGGCTTTGTTCTCTTGCACTGAGACCTAAGTTGCTTCCCTGATATAGGCAACTCGTCCACCGTACAAATCACTCTCTCACTTAGTCCCCAGCCCCACTCACTCCCTCACTCACCCCTTCACTCCCTCACACTCTCTCAACCACACCAACCCCAGCTTCTGTAATGCACTCGGCTCTCAGCTCTCTCCCTTAGTATTCTGAAATTTAACCTTCCACACAACATTACACACGCACTCACTCCCACCACTCCCTCACTCTTCTGCACCTGCCTCCTCTTCTGCCGATGCCCTCGCCTCATGCAGGCTCAGCGACCGCTTCAGCTTCAGCAGCGCGTTCTGCAGGTGCTTGAACCGCTTCCACACTCACTCCCTCACTAACTCCCTTACTCTCTCCCTCTCTCTCTCTCACCTGCCCCAGCCTCCTCTTCTGCGGACGCCCGTGCCTCATGCAGGCTGAGTGACCGCTTCAGCTTCAGCAGGGCGTTCTGCAGGTGCTTGAACCGCTCCCTCTTCCCTTTGCTCTCCATGTCCTCCTGCAGCAGCACTGACAGACTGTCGTCGGATAGTTCACTGGCAGACAGGGGATGGCCAGGGGAGGAGAAAAAGAGAAAGACAAAGAGCATGAGGAAGGTTTACCCCTAAGGTACTTGTACAGCTGTCTCTTCCCCTTGCTTTCCAGGTCCTCCTGCAGCAGCACTGAAAGACTGTCGTCAGATAGCTCACTGGAAGGGAGAGGAGAGGGGAGGCAGCGAGAAATAGCCAAAGCACAAGGTGCATAAGTTGCTCCACCTCCATCCATCCAAATCATCGCATTTAGATTATATAGCCGCGATTCATTACACTCTAATCATTGAACTCAACTAGAATATCGTACCTGACTTTCTGGTACAGTTTTGTGAGCATGGCGTCTTTGGCCTTCTCCACTTGCGTCAGCACTATTGCCTGATGGCGAGGGGGGGGGCGCAGAAGGAGGGATACAAAAATGTAAACATGTGCGTGGTTGCAAACGAGATACGTGTGCATGTTGTTTGCCAGCTGTGCCAGCACAACGTGCACGTATCTCCCCACTATACCTGCTACTTCCCTCCCAAATCACACATCCTCATCGGTCAAATCCATTTTCACACCTGGACACCAAATCCACTCTCCTCCCTGCCCACCTTGGGGATGTTATCTGCCAGGTGCGCCAGCACAGCATGCACGTATCGCCTCACTTCAGTCGCCATGGCCTTGAGCTCCTCCTCCGGACTCACCACCCGCTGATTCCCCCCCCCAGGCCCCCCCTGCTGCCCAGGCGCGGGGGGAACGCCCCCCCCAAGTCCCCCGGGCCCGCTCTCCCCCTCCCGTTCCCCATCCGCGCCCCCCGAGTCGTCCCCTGCTTCCCCTCCGCCTGCTGCTTCTGGTGGGGGCGAGGGCGCTTCTTTGAAGGCCTTGGTGTGGCTGCGCAGGCGTTGCACCCACTGCTGCTTCTCTGCCAGGCTGTCCGCTCGGAGGATGAGAGCGTTGTGCACTGCACCGGAGGAGAGGACGGAAGAAAACAGGAGAGGCGGGGGGCAGGCAGAGAGGAGTGGATGATTTAAGTCAGTGAGGGCGCTATTTTAAAGGCCTTGGTGTGGCTGCGAAGCCGTTGCACCCACTGCTGTTTCTCTGCCAGGCTGTCAGCTCGGAGGATGAGAGCGTTGTGCACTGCAAGGTTTAGGGTTCAGGGAGGGGCAAGGGGTGGAAAGATGGGAAAAGGAGATGGAAAAGGAGGGGAGGGAAGACAATCATGCTGCTTGAGGTTGATTTTGAGAATTCTAAAAAAATCCCTATCAGAGGCAGCGAGGGCGGTTCTTTGAATGTCGTGTGGCTGCGAAGGCGCTGCACTGCACCCAGGGGGGGCACCCACTGCTGCTTCTCTGTCAGGCTGTCAACACGAAGGATGAGAGCGTTGTGCACTGGAGAGAAAGTGGAGGGAACGGGGCCTGGAGGAGGGAGGGAGGGCTGGGGGCTCTAAACTGCACTCACATCTGACCCCAATCTACACCCACCTTTACTCTAATGCTACAAGCACCTTTAACCCTAATCTACACCCACCTTTCACTCTTATGCTACACTCACCTTTGACCCTGATCTACACCCACCCTTGATCTAATGCTACACTCACCTTTGTCCCTTATCTACACCCACTTTTAATCCAATGTTACACTGACCTTTGACCCTAGTCTATACTCACCTTTGACCACGGTCTTGTACGGGGTGCGATTACTGATTTTGAACGACAGCGACTGGGCGGAGGGGCTCCCAGACTTGAGGTCGGACGCTGATGGCACCTCCTCTGGCGGGAGATTGTCCTCCACTATGCAGTCCTGCGAGGATCAAGGGAGCGAGGGGCGTTTGAGCGTTTAAGCATCTCAGAAACTGTCCCGATTGTGGAAGGGAAGGGCAATGACAGTCTCGACACGAGAGGCAGAAGCCGCATCCTCCGGAGGTGCGCAGACTTCCACAGCGCAGTCCGGCAAGGGGATGAGGATGGGTGAGGTGTTGCTAATCTGGAAAATGGCAGTGGTTGAACCTAGAGAATCACTTTACTCAATGTTTTTTTTCTTCTTTCTTTGTTCTTCATTTTTTTTTTCCCAACCAAACACCACTGGCGACTGTAATAACAACGGCAGTGAGGAAGGGGTGGAGCTCACCTCCAGAGGGATGACGCCTCGGGGAGTCTTCTCGTCGGGCTTCTTCACATAGTACAGCTGCAGGGCACGCAAACAGATGGGAGGGAACGTGTAGGGGGCAGAAGAAGAAGGGATGGCTTTTTTGAGTCAACTCGAAGCAAGATGACGCCTCGGGGAGTCTTCTCGTCGGGCTTCTTCACATAGTACAGCTGCAGGGCACGCAAAAGCGGGGGAGGAGTGCAGGCGCGTCAGGACGTCAGGACAGTGGGATGGACGGAAAGAGAGCGAGCGCGAATTACGAGTCATGAAATGAGGTGACTTTTGAGTCGACTCAAAACTCGACTTATCACACAGTGCAGGCGCGTCAGGACAGTGGGATGGACGGAAAGAGAGCGAGCGAGGATTACGAGTCATGAAATACGATCGAAAATCCTGATGAGAAGATGTGTGCATGGAGATGATCCTACTGTATGGATGCACTGCATTTCACTGCCCGCTCTGCTCCTCTCCCTGTGCCGTGCTCAAGCACGGGGAAACGATGCGAATATATCGCTCATGTAATCCTTCATTCACACACTCACTCACTCACTCACTCACTCATTCACACACTCACTCACTCACTCACTCATTCACACACTCACCCTAGCAGTCTTGTCGCTGAGGGCGAACCACCGTTTGCTCCACCCGCCCTTGGAGCTCACTTTCCACAGAAACCCTGCAGACAGGCGGTGAGAGAGAGGGGAGAGAAAGGAAAAAAATAAAGTATGTACCTCAGTTCGCTACTTCCTTGCTCCACCCGCCCTTGGACCTCACCTTCCACAGGAACCCTGCAGGGCACGAGAGGGGGGAGAAGAGGGGAGACACGAAAGTATGTACCACAGTAGACTCGTTTCCTTGCTTGCTAGTTGCCTTTTGAGTCGACTCAAAAGTCAACACGAAAGTATGTACCATAGTAGACTCGTTTCCTTGCTTGCTCCAACCGCCCTTGGAGCTCACCTTCCACAGGAACCCTGCAGGCAGGCGGTGAGAGAGAGACGGGGGGGAAGAAGGAAAACTAAAGTATGTAATGAATGTTGCATTGCATGCTTGCTCCACCGACCCAAATGTAAAACCCTAAGAAATAGTTTTGACAGCTGAGACTGACACAGTTGGCAAGTGAGAAGTAGGAGCATTCTACTGATGATTAAGGAAAAAAACTATGACAGGAAGATGCATACCTGCGAGTTCCCGCTGCGGCTCTTGGGGCTGGCTGGGGGCAGCAGCAGCAGCAGAGAACGATGTTGATGGTGGCGGAGGAGGCGGGGCCTCCTTCTTCCGCCCCATCATGAACGAGCTGAACCGGCCCTCGCCCTGAATGGGGAGGAGAGGAAGGGGGCAGGGGGGGAGCGAGGAGGGAGTGAGGGAACATCAGGCAACGGGCCCCACCAAGGCATGATGCCTCCTTCTTCCGCCCCATCATGAACGAGCCGAACCGGCCCTCGCCCTGAATGGGGAGGAGAGGAAGGGGGCAGGAAGGAGGGCAGGGAGGAGAGCAGGGAGAAGGGCAGGGAAGAGAGAAGCAGCGACATATGCTGATGGTGAGGAAGGAGGGGGGACGTTCTTATTCCGCCCCATGTTTGACATGAACGAGCCGAACCGACCCTCGCCCTGAATGGAAAAGAGAGGAGGACAGCAGGGATGGAGAGAAGAGGGAGCAAGGAGGAGCGGAGTGTTAGAAATTGGCTGTCAACACTTTGTGCACTCAAATTTATATGCTTTAGGTTATTTGTGGGTTGGGTGTAGATTTGTAGTCCCAACCCTATCCGGTTGGGATTCCCCCGTAATCCAACAAATCTGCCAACTCACCATTGAAGATAAGCTTGGATTCCCATCCCATCCTTTTGTTGATTGTGTAGGTGGTTGTGGTATTTTGCTCTAGCTGGTTGTGGGCTAAGGGTTTGGGCCAAATGTGGTGGTTAGACTTGTTGCGGGCTGGCATTGATCTCGCAGCCAACAAGCACCAACAAACCTTTGCTATTCACTACAACACCTTTGGTGTTGCTAGTTTAGCACTTTCGGTTGTTGGGGATTGTTGTAGGGCGAGGGTTGGGTTGGTAGGGTTTGAACAACTCGTCACTTTTCAGATCTGAACTCTTGCTAAAGCTAGTCTTTTGGTCTAATCCATGGCTGCCTACTAATTCCGCCAGAATACACCGTCGCACTTAGATCGCGATAGCGATCGGCCTAGATCTTGGTTGAAAGCGTGCGTTACCATTCTGGAAAGTAGATATTAAGACCGTTCCAACTAGTACCTGCTCATAGTTTAAGGTTACGTGAGCTGCACACAATGTTCCGTCGAAGTCGGCGGACTTAATCTCTTGTACGCTCTCCAGATTCACGCGCTTTCCATCACCTTTCCTTAGCTTTGCTCAACCCAACCTTGTTTGTACTTAAGGCCGAGTGCCTTCTATTATAATCAATCAGTCAAGCTCTATTTCTGACACGGAGGGGAAGAAGAGGGAACATCAGGAGGTCAGAATCGAGCCCCAAGGCATGACACCTCCTTTGTCCAATAAGACACCAACTCCTCACCCCATGCACCCTGCTTTCCTCATAGCTCTCCCATCCCCCCTTTCTCACCGCTCTAGATGCGGACTTGCGCGCGTTGGTCATTTCTTTGAACAGCGTCTCCTGTCGCTTGTACTCTGCCTCAATGAAGTGCGTCGCAGGGATAAAGACCCTCTCCATGTCCACCAGCGCCGTCACCATCACCTTCGCCTCTGCCCTGTACTCGTCCAGCGCTGCAGACGCAATCGCCACTAGCTGGAGAGTGGAGGGTTTGTGGGGAATAGGTTGAGAGAGTTAGGTTCAGCCTGAGGGGTGGAGTGACGCAGGAGGGGATGAAGACCCTCTCCATGTCCACCAGTGCCATCACCATCACCTTCGCCTCTGCCCTGTACTCGTCCAGAGCTGCTGACGCAATGGCTACTAGCTGGAGCAGAGTAGGCCAGACACGAGAGGGAGAAGGGAGTAGGAGACGGAGAAGAGAAGAGGGAGAAGGGAGCAGCAACAGCAGGGATGAAGACCCTCTCCATGTCCACCAGCGGCGTCACCATCACTTTTGCTTCTGCACTGTACTCGTCCAACGCTGCTGACGCGATTGCAACCAGCTGCAATAGATAGGTAAAAGCAGGGGAAGAAGGGAGTATGGAGGGCAGGGATGAACACCATCTCCATCACCTTCGCCTCTGCCCTGTACTCGTCCAACGCTGCTGATGCTATGGCCACTAGCTGGAGTGGGAAGGGACAAACAATTGGGTGGAACAGGGCGGGGCTGGAGATTTCAGGGTGGAGCAGGGAGGGGCGGACAAGAAGTTGGGATAGGGGAATGCAAAATGGTGTTCTTTGCCTTTAGAGAGGGGAGGAACCAGGCGAAACGGGGCAAAGAGGCGAGGGACAGCATGTCATGGCATGGCATTGCATGGCATGGCACGGCACGGCATGGCACGGCACGGGATGGCATGGCATGGCATGGCACGGCACGGGATGAAATGGGAGCTGACCTCTTTCTTCATGGGAGGAAAGCGGACAAGGGAGGGAGCAGTGGACGCTGCTGCAACAACAATGTCCAATAGGATCTTGTGCACCTGAACAAAGGGAGGCAGAGCGAGACAGAGGATGGTCAAGGAAAGACACTGAAATTCAATCGGGGGATGGGGAGGACGTCAAGGCCGGAGGCTTGCTGCTGCTGCAACAACAATGTCCAGCAGAATCTTGTGCACCTGAACAAAGGGAGGCAGAGGAAGGGCGGCAAAATACGTAGCTGACAGGCCAAAGGGAGGACGGGAAGGGAGTCTAGGCCTAATGCTGCAACGGCAATGTCGAGCTGAGTCTTGTGCACCTGAACAAAGGCATAAGATGGTCAAGGAAAGTCAAAGAAATGCAACAGATGCACAGAGGATGGGAAGGACGTTAAAGACTGAAGCTGCAACGAGTTTTGAAACGGCTCGCGTCTCCACAGATTCCTGTGCACCTGATAGGAAATCGGAAAGTTAAGGGAAGGACAGGAGAAAGTCAAGGTTGCTGCAGAAAAAAGGGAAGAATGACTGTCAAGATTCGGACCAGTCCCTTGCAGCAGACCAGTGAAAGCGGGAAAATACGTGCCAACGACCACCCTCAACCACCTTCCTCACCTCATCCACACAGTCTAGGCCTGGCTGCTTGGCGAGATTGAGGCTGCGCTTGATGGCAGAGGAAGACCTGGGCAGGCACCTCATCTCCCCCGGGTCACATCGTTCACACAATCTGCCCTGCGATCCGTTTCTCACCTCATCCACACAGTCTAGGCCTGGCTGCTTGGCCAGGTTGAGGCTGCGCTTGATGAGCAGACGCAGACCCTTTTCTGGGGAGATGACGTATGGCTGGTACCCATCCGCTTCTGCTACCACCTGGGAAATTGTTCAATTGGGTGGATGGATGGATGGTGTACAACGGTGGACAGCGGCAGACAACGGTTAGAAGGAGGGCAGGGGGAGTTCAGAGGGGGAAAGCTTGCAAGAACAGGATGGAAAGAAGGAAGGAGGAGAAGGAGGAGGAGGAGGAGGAGGAGGAGGAAGAGGAGGAGGAGGAGGAGGAGGAGGAGGAGGAGGAGGAGGAGGAGGAGGAGGAGGAGGAGGAGGAGGAGGAGGAGGAGGAGGAGGAGGAGGAGGAGGAGGAGGGACGAGGTCAATGCAGGGATAGCAAAGACGGCAGAGTTGACAAGTGGAACGGAAATAATCAAGATTGAGCTCCTTTTATGCTGCCTGGCTGACCTTTTTGACGTTGTCAAAGTTGAACATCTCGTCCAATGGCAGGCCTCGGAATCTCAGGGGCAGCGTGCCGACAAACTTCTCAACCATCTGAGAGCCTCCGCCCTGAAAAAAAAAAAACACGTAGACAATTAATCAATGATTGAGTTGACTCAAAACAGCCTTCATCATGAAACATGGCAAGCACATGAGCAGAAAGGATTTTCAATCCACTTCGCAGAACCATACATGGACACACTTGATAAAGGACAAACCAAGGAAGAGCTTACGAACAACAAACCATTTTAGAAATTCCCGGCTAGTGGCTCTCTAGAGCACCGCCTACATCCCCCACCCCCCACAAACACAACATACCTCACAGCCGTCGAGGTGCTCAATGAAGCGCGTCTCGAACCCGCGACACAGCTCCAGAGCCACAGCCCTGGAACCCTGCAGGTCGGAGATGAGGGACTCTCCCAGGCGCAGCAGCTCTGATTCCACGTCCACTGACCGCGACTCCAGGCTGTGCGGAGGGGAGATGGTGGTGTGGGAGAGGGGCATAAAGGAGTGAGTGAATAACAATAACTGAGATCAGCTTGAGAGCCCTGCAGTGTCGGATATGAGGGAGTCGCCCAGGCGCAGCAGCTCTGATTCCACATCCACTGAGCACGACTCCAGGCTGTGGGTGGGAAGATGGGAAGAATCAGAAGGGAATAGGAGACCAAGCGCGAACTGCACAGACCCAGGAGATACAAAATGAGCTCTGCGGGTCGGATACGAGTGACTCGCCCAGACGCAGCAGCTCTGATTCCACGTCCACTGACCGCAACTGCAGGCCGTGGGAAGGGAATCGGAGAAGAGAGTGAGAATCGCGCGCACTCATGAGAAGGCGCACTCATGAGAAGGCGCACTCATGAGAAGGCGCACTCATGAGAAGGCGCACTCATGAGAAGGCGCACTCAGCAATGGGAGTGCTGCAGCAACTCTGACTCCACGTCCACTGAGCGCGGTCCGCCCATCCACTTGCCCACCCACTCACCCCTCCAATCCAACCAACCCACCCGGCCATGATCCTGGGAATCTTACCCTTCCATCTTTCGCCGCATTGTCCTGGCAATCAATTTCAGTCGACTCAAAAGTCACCCACAGCCCTCCCCACCCCAGTATCCCACCCACCCAAACCCACCCGGCCATGATCCGCGGAATCTTCTCCTTCATCTTCCTTCGCATGGTCCGGGCAATCATGCGCAGCAGCGCATCGCGCCCCATGGACCCCTCCATGCCCTTCACGCCCAGCGCCCGCATCACACTCGCCAGGGCCTTCTGCTCGCCCTGCCACGCCTCGTCCATGGGAGCATCTGTGTTCGCGTCCCCCAGTGGCTGCCCCAGCACCGGCACCCACGGGTAGTCCTGTGCCATGGCCGCGCCCTGCCCTTGTAATAACTCTAGAGCAAGCTTGGCCGCAGCTTTGTCTGATACCACCCGCTCAAACTGCGTTATCACGCCTATGCTGCGCGCGCCTGGGGGGGTGAGGGGGGTGAGGGTAGGGGCAGTGGGGTGGAGTTGGGTGCGAGGAGAGAAAACGGGAGGGAAACGAGGGAGAATAGGCAAGTGGGAGGGAAGCTTTTGTGTCCGCGTCCCCCAGGGGCTGCCCCAGCACCGGCACCCACAGGTAGTCCTGTGACATGGCCGCGCCCTGCCCCTGGAGGAGCTCTAGTGCGAGCTTGGCGGCTGCTTTGTCTGATACCACCCGCTCAAACTGCGTTATCACGCCTATGCTGCGCGCCCCTGGGGGGGAAGAGGGAGGGAAAAGGGGGAAGGTTGGGCGGGAGGCAAGGAAATAACTATATGGGTGGAGGGAAAGAGAGGGGTGGGTGGGTGGGGAGCAGAGATGGAGAAGATATGAGGAGAGGGGGAGAAGAAAAAAGGAGGCGCAGACCAAGCTTGAACAGACTTACCATCGCGGTCAATGTCATGTGCTAGGCGCAGCAGCTTGAGGGAGTCCTTGACACGCGTGGCAGCAATGATGGCAAGCAAGCAGCTGACCACGCAATAAACAGACTTACCATCGCGGTCAATGTCATGTGCTAGGCGCAACAGCTTGAGCGAATCCTTGACGCGCGTGGCAGAGATGACCACGAGGAGGAGCAGCAGCAGCAGGAGCAGATTCACCATGCTAGATCACACTTACCATGAGAATGATCATGCTATAAAACAAGCGTACCATCGCGGTCGATGTCATGCGCTAAGCGCAGCAGCTTGAGCGAGTCCTTGACGCGCGTGGCAGAGATGACCACGAGGATGATGGCCTCCTGGTTGGACACGTTGTCTTGCAGCTGGAGTGGAGGCAAAGTGGGAGAAACGCCCATGCGCATGGAGGGACGGGGGAAGGAAACATGAAGGGGTTTGAGAAGGAAGCATGACGGATGATACGACGTGGTGTGGAAGGCCCTGTGTTTCAGCCCAACCACGGGAACAACTGCAGCAGTGTGGGTGGGAGTCTGGCATCAGCAGCCACAGGTGCACCGACTGACTTGATCGTAATGATCATCTTCAGGACGGGTGCTGCTGCCAATGAAATCAGCCCACCCAAGGGAACCACTGCTGCAGCAACAGCAGCAGCAGCAGCAGCCCCGGTCCATGTTGGCACACCCATGACATGACGTCATTAGAAAGGAAAGGGAGGAGAAAGAGCTCCCAATCCCAGCGCTGCAAACAGCAGTGGTGTGCCAATGAGACGAGGCCGCAAGAGAAGTGAAAGGAAGATGAGACGAGGGGACTCACCAACCCACACATGCACAGAATAGCATTATTCCGTCTCCTTTGTAACAGAAAACAAAATAAAATAATTGGAAACCGAAGTGCACAAAGGGCACTCACTGTGCCATCAAGGTCTGACGACCGTTCGACTCCGGGAAGATCCGTCACACGGATTGGAGGTGCTGCAGGGGGAAGGGGAAGAGGGAAAGAGAAAACGATGAGCAGACAAAACTAAGGAGGAGAGACTATGGGCAATGGCAGGTATGACAGGCGCGCAAACACAACTGCAGATGCAGAGTGAAAAGGGAGCAGAGGCAGTCCTGAGAGAGTCCAGCTTGCAGGAGAAATAACTCAGGAAAGGAAGAGAGAGGACAGGGGAGTCAAGGGAACAAAGACGCTCAGCAAAGGAGAGAGAGAAGACAGATTCATGGGCGAACAAAGGGAAGAAAGAGCGACGGAGGACTCCATCAGGGTGACAGTGTAGAAAAGGGACGTCAGGTGGGGGACTGACCAATTGGCGAGCGTAGGATGAGGTGCGCCTCTTGGCGATTCCTTGACTTGGACTTGGCCTGTGCCATATCCGCTACCAGCGCCTGCCGCACCTCCGCTGGTGGTGGTGACACACACACGCGCACACACGCACGCACGCGCGCGCACGCACGCACGCACGCGCACGCACGCACGCACGCGCGCGCGCACGCACACACACGCACACACGCACGCACGCACACGCGCGCGCGCGCGCACGCACACACACACGCACACACACACACACACACGCACACACACACACACGCACACACGCGCACACACACACACACACACACACACACACACACACACACACACACACACACACACACACACACACACACACACACACAAAGAGCGAGGCACAGGTGGACGAGGGAGAAGGCCAGAGTCAGAAGGGTGGTGGTGAACAATTCACTCTTCTTGACGAAGCAGGAGTTGCAGACGAGGATCTGTGGTCTTCCTGTGGTGTTGCTCCGCCCGACGCTGCTGCCAGTGCGAATGGTGACACACACACAGATGGACGGCAGGAGAGTTGTACAGAGTCAACTGCCTTAAAGGGCGTCTATCTTGCTGAAAGCAGAGAAAAACAGCACGTAAAACAAAAAACAAAAGGAGCTTGAACAGGAAAGGATAAGTGGGAGAGGAAGGAAAAGCAAGGTGTTGCTACTCACAGGGTTTCCGCATGTTGGCTCGCGGTCCGAGACTCGCTCGGATGCTGCCTACTCCCAGGTTGGGGTCCCGTTGTAGGTCCACCAGAACAGGGAAGCGTGTGGCTCCACCCTCAGCCGTTGGCTGCAATGGGGCTCGCAGGCAGCACAAACATGTCATTGAGTCGAGTAACAAACATGCCAACCTGAGGTTGGTGGGGTGCCTTTGCCGTGAGATGCCACAACCACCAAGTCTGAACTGAATTGAACTGAACATGTGACACGACTGAATGGAATTATAGCGACTGTGGTGTATCGTGACTTACAAGAACGGCATGGCCAATGAGGGTGTTGAGAACGGCAGATTTTCCGGCGCCCTGGAGGGGTGCAAGTGTGTGGCGGATGAAAATGGCAGGTAAACCGAACGAGTTTGTGCAGTGTAGTGAGGTGATCGGAACCGAACGAGTTTGTGCAGTGTGGTGAGGCAATCGGGATTCAGGTCACACTGTTTACCTCTGGCGCGAGGGGAAGTGCGAGGGGTAGCTGGAGAAACGGAGAGACAGTACTGTAGAGATGGCATCAAATACTAACTGATTCCACAACGTTGTACTTTGAGCCGCCTATAGAAGAGCTGATCGCACACGCTAAAAAAGTACGAGGAAGATTAAATGGTATGAAAAAAGCTCGCGGGGAAAAGTACGAACGAAGCTTTTATGTATAGATCACGGCACAAACGAAGCTTTTGGGAAGGGAACGGTAAGAAGGCGTGGAACTGACTGAAAGGGCACGGAACTGACTGAAATAGGCACGGAACTGACTGCGAAGGCACGGAACTGACTGAAAAGGGCACGGAACTGACTGCGAAGGCACGGAACTGACTGCGAAGGCACGGAACTGACTGCGAAGGCACGGAACTGACCGGAGCACCGAGCACGACGAGCTGAATGACGGGCGAGGAGGAGGCGCTGCTGGACCGCGAATCGTCGGGGTCCGGAAGGTCATCGCCGACGAGCGCTGACGACGCCTGCTGAAGCGTCTCGCCTAACGAGATCAGATCGTCCATGGCTGCGAGCGACGGTAGAGTCTAAAACGATTTATTGTAATGACAGCGCTTGGGGAGTAGACGGACTGGATTCACCCGAGAGCCCTGGCCTGGATCGGAGGCATGAAGAACTCGAATGACAGCCCAAGATATCGAATGGACGATGCTAACGAGCAATCTAAAATTTGCGGAGCATCGTGTCCAGATAAAGCGAGACCATAAGAACGTAAATTTCTATTGCGAAGCCAGACGAGCCTTGGATTGGCAGAACCAGACTTCAAGAGCTTTCACTGAACAAGCTACCACCACTGGTTCTGCTGAATGCCCTGATTGAACCCGTCTGATGGAATCTAGGATACATTTCGCGAGTTGATCGTGGAAGTGTTTCATGAGAACTTCCTCCAGTGTGGTTTTTTTAGATGATCTGCGCGGCAAAGCGATACTGTCAGATAGTAGCACGGTTGGGCGGGGTTTCGAGGGAATCTGAGATTTCGGCACGCAGTTCAGTGTGCTGCAGATATCCACGTTTGGCAGTGTTGGGCAGGAGGGAGAGCGCAAGGAGCAAAGGGGGGGAGAAGCGCACTGGCGGAAAAAGGGCACTACTTTCATGTAAAGGTGGAAAAATGCGTAGCAGAATGTTGAAATGAATTGGTATATGGACAGAGTGAGAACAAATACGTATGCTTAGAAACTATTTCTGCTCTCCAAACGGAATCATACTCGATACAGTACTGCTGCTACTGTTGCGGGCGGAATCGGTCTATTGAGCAACCTCCTAGAAACTGCCATTCGACCATCCAATCCCCGCCAACAGCCTGACAGGGGCGCTGAGATTCCCCCCACCACAGTCTGCCCCCAGCCGGAAAAGAGCGGCGAAATAGCAGACTTTCTCTCGGTGGAATGCGGCGCGACGAATTTGTGATTCATCAGCCGCGGTATTCCGAAAGTTCCTGTTCCATCCAACTCCAAGGTCCTGTTCGGCAGGCAGGAGGAGCAGGAGGTTGGGGAAGGATCAGCTGAAACCAAATCCCGAGGGGTGAAACTGGACTGGGCACTTTCATTTGAAGAACACCACACGAAGAATATTATGAGGCAGTACAAACAGATCGCACACGGCACTCGCCATCACCGTGGTAGCAGATCGACATACGCGCAGCTTCTCGCTTGTCGGTCCTCTGTGTAGTTTTCCTGAAGCGGATTTGACGCTATTCTCTTCCATTTTCCGCTTTCAACCCCTCTTGTTCCGACGAGATAGTCAGCGTCTTGTTTCTGAGTCGATACCCATTAGCATCGGCAAATTTCAGGAACCACGACTCGGACTTACAACGTTGTTCTTTCTCTACTAACGAGGCTGTCGGAAATAAGGACACATGGATAATCTGATAGGTCTCGTGAATCGGCTTCAGCAGGCGTGCACGGTATTAGGAGACTATGGCGTGTCGAGCGCTGAAGACGCGCTGCCGACGCTCTGGGAGCAGCTTCCGTCGGTGGCTGTGGTGGGAGGTCAGGTGAGGCGGATAGTTACGCGCGTCGAAAATATTATCAGTTTGAGGCTGCCTTTGACCGGACTAGAAAGTCGTTTCGGTGGCTGTGGTGGGAGGTCAGGGTCCTGGTTCACAATCTCATTCCAATAAATGTGTTTCCTTCACGGTCATATTCTGGTGCATTTCTGACTCGTCCTCTGTCGGCGTGTGTCAACCCGAGGTATGTATAGCGGGTTGCCAAATCTGATGCTGGCGATGACGATCCTTGTATTGGATTTGGCGATGGCCCATTCGATCAGAGGCTTTTGCACAGGGACAAAGAGAACCTCCATATGACCACAGAGATTATATCATAATATTTCACTGTAGACTGTTCTCTGCACGTTGTCGTTCAGGCATAGTCTCGACTCTTGCGACGATGTCCTCCTACAATGTCCCCGCTTAGCTTCTCCATCCATCCCGCTCCCATCCCGCTCCCATCCCATTCCCATCACGTGGCAGAGTTCGGGAAAATCGTCGGTGCTAGAGAGCATTGTGGGAAAGGATTTCCTTCCTCGAGGATCAGGTATATTGTCATAGCAACAGCCGAAGGCTTGCCTTTTCCGTCCGGGTGTTTTACAAATGCCTCAGTCATGTTCCGCGATGACTGATCTCTATAAAGTGTTTGTATGTGTTGGTCTCTGTCGTCGCGCTATCTTGCTAATGATTTTCTTGTTCTTGCTAGCTCTAATCATGACCGTCCGCTGGGGTGATGGTGATGTGTGTCGTTGTATGTGGTGATGGTGTATGATGTTCGGTGATGAGCTGTGCTATGCTGTGTGTGGTGCTGTCTTTTGCTATGTGGTTTTGTGCGGTGCTGCGCTGTGCTGTGCTGTGCTCTGCTGTGCTGGTGACTGCAGGCATTGTCACCCGGCGGCCATTGGTGCTGCAGCTGCACAAGGTGGACTCATCATCTGAATACGCGGAGTTCCTGCACCAGCCGGGCAAGAAGTACACCGACTGGGGTGAGCGGCCAGGGCAGAATCAGTTATTACAGCCCCGACCCTGTCAATGCCATTCTGCTGCTTTGTTGTCATTCCACCATTTTTGAATGTTCTTGGCCCATGTCGTCTCTCATAAACATGTCATGCCTTGTCTTCCCCATTATTTCTCCATCTTTCTCCGCAGCTGCTGTAAGAAAGGAGGTTGCAGATGAAACGGATCGAATCACTGGGAAGACCAAGATGATCTCTCCTGTCCCCATCCACCTCAGCATCTACTCTCCCAATGGTATGCATCCATCCACGTCAGCATTTACTCTCCCAAGGGTATGCATCCATCCACCTCAGCCTTCATCCTTCTACCCGTGTCCACGTGTAATGATTGCAATGATCGATTTTCTCATTCGAGTCATCATGTGCTCCTCTCTACCTTTGTGTTAGGCAAACCCACGATTTTCTGTGAGCCTCCATCTTTTCTTTTGTTTGTTAACCGACTGAGCTCCTGTCTGTTGCTCTGTTTCTGCAGTGGTGAATCTGACCCTGGTGGATCTGCCCGGACTCACAAAGATTGCCGTGGGTGAGTTGTCAAGCATTGGGGCATGGCTGTTTTTGATACACTGGGTGGCAGGCTAATGCAGGTGTGTCACTATTTGTAATCCCCTCTCCTCCCCCCCAACCCCCTCCTCCTGCATCCCACACACACCACCCCTGCCCCTTCCATGGTTTGTGATTTCACACGGAGCACTTAGTGGATCTGGACAGCACATTGAGTTATGAAATGTCTCAAAAAGCATCAGGCTCGCCTGAGAGGTGGCGTTGTTTCCAGTGCGTTGTGTGCCTGTGATGACCTCGCAGGTGAAGTCTGATCTGATCATTGCTTCACCTGTGTATGCGTGTCAATGTGATGGTGGTGATTTGTTGCGTGCCTGTGATGGTGGCGTTGGTGGCCTGAATGATTGCAGAGGGCCAGTCGGAGAGCATTGTGAGGGACATTGAGGACATGGTTCGGCAGTACGTGGAGAAGGTGAGTGCGAGTGTGGGGAAGGGAAGAGTGGTGGTGCCAATATGTGTGCCTCCCTTCATAAACCATTGCAGTGCTCGTTATGGGGATGCGTTTGGGGGTGAGGAACGATGGATCAAGGTAGGAGGTTGGGTATGATGGATGAAGTGTGGGGGGGCTTGGGGGTTGGAGCGTCCATTTTGAGCCATTCTGGCTGCATTACCTATCAAAGAATGCATTTGCATTGTGTGTTTAATTTGACATACAAACCTTCATAGTATTTCCACCATCCCGCAATTCGCGCCTTCAACCCAACCCTCCCCTCACTCCCCTACAGCCCAACTGTATCATCCTGGCTGTATCTCCCGCCAATCAAGACATTGCCACCTCCGATGCCATGCGCATGGCCAGAGAGGTTGACCCTGAGGGTAAGAGGTCATGAGGGTGCACCATTCTGAGGGCAATTAGCCGGAATCTTCTAGCTGTACATAGCCATGACTCGCTAGGGTAAATTTCTCTGGGGCTCATTGAAAACAGCCAAGGCATTGGCACCTCCTATGCCACTTGCAGGGTGAGAGAGATCGACCCTGGGGGTAACTTGGGTAAGTAGCCCCGGATGTACGCCCTCCCTTTCAAGCTAGCCACGTATGTTCCCGTTGGTTCCCCTTCCTGGCAGGCGAGAGGACATGGGGTGTGCTGATCAAGCTCGACCTCATGGACAAGGGCACCAACGCGCTTGAGATTCTCCCACTCTCCCGCTCAACCCTTTCTTTTGCGCTGTGCTCCCTGTGCTGCGTGGTGGCCTGCAGGTGAGAGGACATGGGGTGTGCTGACCAAGCTCGACCTCATGGACAAGGGCACCAACGCGCTTGAGATTCTCCCACTCTCCCGCTCAACCCTTTCTTTTGCGCTGTGCTCCCTGTGCTGCGTGGTGGCCTGCAGGCGAGAGGACATGGGGTGTGCTGACCAAGCTCGACCTCATGGACAAGGGCACCAAGGCTCTTGAGATTCTCCCACTCTCCCGCTCAACCCTTTCTTTTGCGCTGTGCTCCCTGTGCTGCGTGGTGGCCTGCAGGCGAGAGGACATGGGGTGTGCTGACCAAGCTCGACCTCATGGACAAGGGCACCAACGCTCTTGATGTACGCCCTCACCGCCCTTCCCTTGCTGCATGTCCTTTGTCTGATTTCCGTGCTCCACGCCCACAGTTCGGGCATGATTTGAGAGCTTGCCATGTGTGTTCTCGTGCTCCAGTCTCCAGATTTGCGCTCTCGTTTTATTGCCGACCGTTGTCAGCTCTGCTCTTTCCCCTGCTGTAGACACCACCAGGCGCTAGAAGGCCGTCCCTACAAGCTCAAATACGAGTGGTGGGTGTGGTGAACCTGCCTTTGATCGCTTATTTCGTTTCCCTCCCTGCACACGCCTCACACACACACCACCAGGTGCTAGAGGGGCGCTCGTACAAGCTCAAGTATCCGTGGGTGGGCGTGGTGAACCGTTCTCAGGCCGATATCAACCGCAACGTGGACATGCTGGCGTCCCGCCGCAAGGAGAGGGAG